GGAGGGAGGGAGGGAGGGAGGGAGGGAGGAAAGGAGAGCGCTTGAGAGAGCAAGAGTGAGCACAAGCTCAGAGGTCGCCTCCCTTGAGCCAGGCCCTGCTCTAGACATTCTACCTACATTGCTTACTTAATTCTCACCACTACCATACGCAGGGGGTCCTGTTAGTCCCCTCTCAGCAATCAGAGATGATGCCACTTGCCAAGGGACATAGAAATGGTGGCGCTGGAATATGAACCTGGCGGCCTGGCCCTGACCCACCTTGCAGAAAGTACTTGAGGCTGCTGCCTGCGCCCCCAACTAGGATTACGGGCTGGGGGCTCAGGACTCAGGACAGAGACCTGAACCCATCTGATGCAAAACTCCTGCTATCTGGATTGGGAAACCAGCGGGGTTGCTGCAATAGGGCAGGAGGGGAGGGCCTGCCCCATGGCGGAGGGGTAGTGAGACAGGCTGAGATCAATCAAACTTGGCAGCTGTGAGCAGCAGCAAACCTGAGGTGAAGGTCCAGACGTGGAGACCTTGCAGGGCCCTGGAAGTTGTAAAGTGTCTCAAGACCTGGACTCTACCTGATGAGCCATGTGATTCTGCACAATCCCCTTTACCTCTCAAAACCTGTCTCCTGCAAGCCAAGCTGGGGGTGGGCCTCTGTGACCTGAGGTCCCTTCTTGGCATCAAGTCCCAGGACTCAGGGTTCTGGCTCCCCTCCCCCTCCAACTTCTGCCCCTGTGCTCTGCTGTGGCCTCTTCCTTATCCAGGGCTCTGCTACCCAAGAGCGGTTGCCAGGTGTGCCAAGGCCCTCAGAGAATTCCCTCGCTCCCCCTCCCCATCCGAGAGCCCAGGCTGATGTAATCTGCCTGCAACTGCCACCTCACTCCCCAAGCCAGGCCCCTCCGCACTGAAAAAGAGTCCCCAGCAGCCCCACCCAACCTGAGGGGTTGAAGAGGCTGGGCACATGGGCCTGGGGACTCTGCAAGGCCTGGAGAGCCCAAGGCACAGTGAGTCCTGGCTGGACCACCAGCCTGGATCAGGAATGGGGACTTGCAAGGGTTCAGGGTGTCAGGACCTGGTGCGGCAGCCACCTATAACTGGCCACCAAAAACCAGAACACGCTGAGAAGGGCTGAGCAGTTGTGTGTGAACTGGCACCCATCCAGCACAATGGAGTCAAGCTGCTTAGGTGGGGCAGGGTTGAAGTGGGTAGGATCCAAGAGTTAGAGAGCAGAGACAAGGGGCCAGGACAGAGGCACTGCAGTCTCTGCAGTGACACCATCTCAGTCAGCACGTGCCACATACAGCCAGCAATAGGATGTTCCTAAGCCAGTTCACATCTAGCTGTTAAAAAATACCCTACCTCTCAAAACACTCAACTCCAGCCTGAAACAAAACCTAATTAAAGCACATTCTATAAACACCCAGCTGGCATTCTTCAAAACTGTCAAGGTGACTGAAAAACAAAGCAAGTGTGAAGGTGGCAAAGATCAGGAGAGGGTAAAGAGCCAGGGATTTAGCTCAGTGGTGCCACCGCCTGCCTCTCAAACACAAGGTCCCGAGTTTGATCCCCGGTACCAAAAAAAAGAAGAGGGTAAGGAGATATGATGCTTAAAGAGAATGTGATATATTGGAACAGAAAACACAAGGAACTACTACTGAAATCAGAATAGAGCCTGGCGTTTAGACAACACAATGCACTGATGGTGGTTCCTTGGTGGTGACAAACGTATCATGTATCATAGTGACCAAGATGTTAACAGGGAAAACTGGGTGAGGGGCATAAAGGAGTTCTCTGCACGTGTGTGTGTGTGTGTGTGTGTGTGTGTGTGTGTGTGTGTGTGGTACTGGGGATTAAGCACTGAGCTACATTTCACTCACCTCTTTAAAATAACTTTAAATTTATTTTTATTTTGAGACAGGGTCTTGTTAAGTTGTCCAGGCTGGGCCCAAACTTGAAATCCTCTTGCCTCCTGCACCACCATACCTCACATCTCTGCACTATCTTTCCAACTTTTCTGAAAATCTGAAATTATTTCAAAATAAAAGTTTATTTTTTGGGGGCCAGGGATTTACCTCAGTGGTTCCGGTGCTTGCCTCGAAAGTGCAAGGTCCCAGGTTCCATCCCCAGTACCAAAAACAAACAAAACAAACAAACAAAAAAACCATGGCTGGGTGTGGTGATGCACACCTGTAATCTTACCACTGGGAGGCTGAGGCAGGAGGATTGCTGTGAGTTTTGGGCCAGCCTGAACTATACAGTGAGACCCTGTCTCAAAAAAACAAAAATAAATAAATAGGATATCCATGGGCTGGGGGTATAGTTCAGGGTAGAGGTCTTACCTAATGTGCTCGAGGCCCTGTGTTCAATCCTCAGCAAAAAACAAAAAAAAGCCTAAACTGAGTCTGGGTGTGCATGCCCACAGTCCCAGCCACTTTGGAGGCTGAGCCAGGAGGATCACTTCAGCCCAGTTTCAGACCACCAACACAGTGAGATCCAGTCTCAAAAGGAAAAAACCTAGTCCTCAGTATAACCTTAAAGGTCCCCTCAGAATACCCTGCGGTGGACTGCCTCCAGCAGTGTTTCAGCAGCCTAGCCCCAATCCCACCTGATACACTGCTCAAGTATCTACACTAGGAAGTGGAAACAGTCCTCAAGCCTCCTTTGGAAGCTTTTAGGGGACTTGTCTATAATCACAGAGTCAGAGCACATCCACCTCAGTAACAGCAGTGCCAACAGCCCCTTACTGAGCACCTACTGTGTGCCAGCCACTAGTCTGCACATCTGGCATAGATTAACCCATTTAATCCTCAAACAGCTCTAAGGTGTAGCTTACTATGAAAGCCACTTTTTACCACAGAGGAAGCTGAGGCACACAAAAGTAAAGGAGAATGCCAGGGCCACAAGCAAGGTGCAGTCAGGGTTTGGACCCAAATACTCTGCGATCCAGAATCAGTGCTCTTAACTTCTACTCTATATATTGCCTAGGTTTTAACACAGGCCCTGTGCAGCCAAGGAGATAAAGGGCAATTGCTCAGATACTGGTAGGATTAAACAGTGAGTCCCGTGAAGGAAGAGGGTCAGATCCCAAGGACTTCCTGCATGCAACTGGGAAGTGGGGATGAAGCCTGTGAGAAACTCTTAGGGTTCGCCTATCCTTCTCTGGGCCTTGATCAGTCTCTTAACTGCCCTAGAAAGAAGGTTGAACTCCAGGTGGGATGTCCTGATGTGGATGGATGAAGGGGTGGGGCTTCTGTAACAGGAAAGATATCCATCCACGTGTGTGGGTGGGAGAGGGCACAGGAGGAACAGGATGGCTACCTAGTGGTTTTACTAAACGGAAATACAAATGTCCCCTTTCTTGGTAGGGTTGGGTGCCAATTCCTACCTAGTAGCAGGGAGCAGCTGAGGCTAAGGACTGAAAGGAAGTCAGGGCACTGCGCAGGGGTTGTAGAAAAGGCTGAATCCTTGGGGGCAACGGAGGTGGGAGGGGGAAGTGGGGTATCTGGGAATTGAAACCCTGGAGTGAGGGCCTCAAGGGCTAAGCGCCTGGGGCTCTTTCAAGGTGTGGGGAAGACGATGGGCTCCAGACTTCCTATTAATACAGTAAATAGGGCCGGGGATTTAGCTCAGTGGTTTGGCCGCCTGCGACCCGAGTTCGATCCCCGGTACAAAAAAAAACACAACACACTAAATAGCCCAGCTTTGTGTTTAGATCTTTGATACTGTCTAGTTTGATTTTCATAAACTACTCCACCACGCAGAGTTGATTTTTCTCATTTACAGAAAGGGAAATGAGGTCTGAACAAAGTTATTTGTTTAAGGCCACCCTGGCAGTTTTAGGATTTGAACCCAGCACGGTCTGTGACTCCAGTCAGACTTTTAACTCACGAGGGTTCTCGGGGTGGGACGGCGGTTGGGGGATGAAATGAAAGAAAAGAGAAACGAACTGGTGGGGGTCAGGGGAAAGGACAGAGTCGATCTCCAAAATCTGAAAGGGCGGGGGCCTGGCCTTCGAGGTCATACAAAGCAATGGTCCAAGGTCGAATGGTGCCGGAGGCCGGTCCCCAGGTCTAAGGGAAACTGGAAAACCCCAAGGGTCGTTAGAAGGGTTTCAGACACGCGGATCCCCACGAGGGCGTCGGCCGGCCCCTCCCGGCTGGGGGCACACGGGAGCGGGGCGGGGCGCGGAAGGATCCAGGCGGGTCATGAGGCACCAGCCCCAGTATATCTGTCCCCAGGCCCCGGGGCCACCCCATTCCCCGTCCTCACATCACGATCTCTTCTTACACTCTCTTCTTACACTACTGCAGCGCCGCCTCCACCCGCGTACTCCCAGCCATGGCTCTGTAGCCGCCACCCCTTTGTGCCGCCGGCCCTTCTCCGCGCTCACCACACCTTCGCTCCCGCTCCCGTCTTCTTTCTTCAACCGAGGCCGCCGCCGCCTCTCTTTTCCACAGCCATGGAGTGAGTAAACCGCTCGGCCCTCCCTCCAACTGCCTTTCCCGCCCTTCCACAGCTCGAGGTCCTCAAGGCCTAGTTTGGGGGTGGGGAGACGTGAGCATGGAATCACGGTCGCGCAGGCGCAGAAGAGAGAAAATGGGCCTTGGGCGCGCAGTTGAGCATGCGTATTTGGGCCGAAGTTGGAGAAGGCGAGTTCTTCCGGAGAGCTGTAATATAGAGCTGGCCAGCGTGTTGCGCCTGCGCATTACTCCCCAATAGCGATTCGTTGCTTACGCGCATCAGCTCACTAGAGCTCGTATTCCGTATAAAGGACGGGCCTTGCGTCTCCTCAAATGCGCATTAACCTCCCCCCCAACCTCCACCCGCGCCTGAGCAAATAATGGCCGAACCTACGGATAGAGAGTGTGCTTTGCCGCTAGGCGAGGGAGCAGCTCGGAAGGGTGGGGGTTTAGCAGTTCTCCATTTCTCCGCCTGATCCTGCTGGCTCCACAGTGCTCTGATTCACAGCTCAGCTTCCTTCCATTTCAGTTAGGATCCTGCTGGGTCGGGGACTGGTTTTAGATTGATATGGCAGAAGGCGGAGCTTAGAAGCACCCTTATTAAGTGGGTGGAGAGCACTCTGGGAGGCTGAGGGAGGGTCGCAAGTTCGAGCCCAGCCTGGGCGACTTAGGGAGGCCTTCCCCCCCCGCCCCGTCTCAGAATAATAAAATTTAAAAAGGGCTAAATGTAGTTATGTGAAGGCCCCGAGTTCAATCCACAGTACTGCAAAAAAAAAAAGGGGGGGGGGGAGCCAAGAGCAGAGAAAAGCGGACTTTAGGGAGAGTGGGCTTGGGGAAATCCAATGTGAGGAGGGGTGGGGCCCAGGCAGTTACGTATTAGCTGAGGGGGGTGGCTTAGGTGGGGCTAAGAGGCGGGGCCTTTGTGTATCTCTGGTTAGGGGCGGAGCTATGTGAATTGAAGTGAGGAGTGGGGCTTCTAGTTAAAGAAAAAGGTGGGATCTGAGTGGGCCAGGAGGTGGGGGAATTCTCCTGGGAACTGACCTGAGTCGCCATCTAGGAAAGGAATGGGGCCTAAAGGAAATATTTTAGAGAACGTCGCATGGCTGGAGGAAAATTCCCCTGGGAATGAGGGGGTTCGAGGTAATTCCCCTGGGAAAACATTGGGGTTCTGTACTGGGGCTTGAGAATTCTAAAGAAAAGAATTCCCTTGGGAGTGGGTAGGGCTTCCAAATTTGGGGAAGGAAAAGGAAGATTTAGGACTCTGAGTGGACCTGGCTTGGTCCCAAGCCTCCCGCTGGCAGGTGGCTCTGGGGCTGGGCTGGTTGGTAAGGCCAGCCTCTGACCCCCCCACCCCGTTGTCCTTTCCCACACACAGGTCCTCCACCTTTGCCTCCGTGCCTGTCTCCATCGAGCTGAGCAACCTCCGGAGCCTCCTCCCTGCCTTCGGTGCAGCCTCCATTGCCATCGGTCCCCAGTGCCTGTGCCTCAGCCATGTCACTCCTGGCGACCCTGGGGCTCGAGCTGGACAGAGCCGTGCTCCCAGCTAGCGGACTGGGCTGGCTCGTAGACTATGGGAAACTCCCCCTGGCCCCTGCCCCCCTGGCCCCCTATGAGGTCCTTGGGGGAGCCCTGGAGGGCGGGCTCCCAGGGGGAGGAGAGCCCCTGGCAGGTAAGGGCAAGTGGGGTGAGCCGAGGGTTGGGAAGGCAAGGGAATAAGGGCAAAAAAGAAGCCACTCATTTAATCATTCAGTTGATAAATTTATTGAGTGCTCAGTGTGGCAAGCACTGTTCAGGTGCTGGGCATACAGCTGGGAATTGGTCACATATTATGTCCTCCAGAAACACAGTGTAGGGGGCAGGCAGGCAGGCAAGCGGTAAAAGATGATATATTGAGGTAAGTGTGCGATAGTGCCAAACACATAGCAGCTGAGCTAAGTGGCAAAGGGAGCCAGTTTAGGTAGGTAGGAAACCCTTTCCAAGTAGGTAACATGGACTGCAGAGTAAAACAGCAGAAGAAATGAAAAGACCTGAAGCAAGCGCATGTCAGGTGGAGGAATCACATAAGCAGATTTGGAGGTGGAAATTATTTTGGGCATCAGGAATTACTTTATTCATGACTGTACCTGAAATACTTGTCACAGTGTTTTGTTAGTAACTAATGAATATCTGGCCATGGTGATTCCTGCCTGTAGTCCCAGCTGCTCGGGAGAATGAGGCAAGAGGATTGCTTGAGCCTAGGAGTTCAGGGTCAGCCTGGGTAGCATAGAGAGACCCTGTCAAAAAAGTAAGATGGAACAGGGTGCAGGGTGCATGTGTGTGTGTGTGAGTGAGGTGATCTTGTTTGGCTTTTAAGAATAAATTACTAGGTGGGCGGGGGATTTAGCTCAATGGTGCCATGCCTGCCTGACAAGTGCAAGGTCCTGAGTTCAATTCCTGATACAAAAAAAAAAAAAAAGAAATCATGAGGAGCTAGGAGTGGTGGTACATGCCTAAAGCTGAGGTAGGATTACAAATTCGTTCCCAGCCTAGGCAACTTAGTCACTTAGCAAGACCCTGCCTTAAACAGTTTAAAGGTGTGGGAGTGGGGCTGTAGTTCGGTGAAATGGCTCTGGATTCAATCCCCAATATTGCCAAGAAACCAAACCGAAGTAAAGCAAAACAACAAACCAGAAGTGAGTTACAGAGGAAGTCAGAGAGCCAGGCATGGTGGCCCATGCCTGTAATTCCTGCACTCTGGGAAGCTGAGGCAGAAAAATCAGAAGTTTGAGCCCACACTAGGCAACTTAGTCTTAGCAAGTTAAAAAGGGCTGAAGGTGTAGCTCTGCAGGAAGGCCCCGAGTTCAATTCCTAGTTCGGACTGGGGTTGTAAGAGCCAGGAAAAGTCAGAGACCTCAAACACAGGGTACTCAGTAAATCTATTCAGTGGTTGACTGGTTGGCTAGTTCATTGGCTGCCAACTGGCTAGTTGGCTGACAGGTTCTTTGGTTCCTTCACTGGTCTGTTGACTGTGGATGATTCGTCGATTGGTTGCCTGCCTGGCTGGTTGTTCTACTGACGCAGCCCGAGTGAGACCAGACGCTTTGTGTCCCCCCTCGGTTCCCCAGGTGATGGCTTCTCAGACTGGATGACAGAGCGAGTTGACTTCACGGCCCTCCTCCCTCTGGAGCCCCCCCTGCCCCCAGGCGCCCTCCCCCCACCTTCCCCGCCCACCGCTGACCTGGAAGCCATGGCCTCCCTGCTCAAAAAGGAGCTGGAGCAGATGGAAGATTTCTTCCTGGACGCCCCGCTCCTCCCGCCACCCTCCCCGCCGCCGCCGCCGCCCCCAGCCCCCTCCCTCCCCCTCCCTCCCTTTGACCTCCCCCAGCCCTCGGCCCTGGATACCCTCGACCTGCTGGCCATCTACTGCCGCGGCGAGGGCGGGCAGGGGGGGGACGCGGGTGTGGGACCCCTGCCCGCCCCCCCGCAGCCCCCCGCGCCGCAGCCTGCTCGCCCCGCCCCCTACCCCAACCCCGCCACCGCCCGAGGGGACCGCAAGCAGAAGAAGCGGGACCAGAACAAGTCGGCGGCTCTGAGGTACCGCCAGAGGAAGCGGGCGGAAGGCGAGGCCTTGGAGGGCGAGTGCCAGGGGCTGGAGGCGCGGAACCGGGAGCTGAGGGAGCGGGCCGAGTCAGTGGAGCGGGAGATCCAATACGTGAAGGACTTGCTCATCGAGGTGTACAAGGCGCGCAGTCAGCGCACACGCAGCAGCTAGGGGCGGGGTCTGGGGCCTGGGCACTCGGCGGCCCTCAGCTTCCGAGCTGGGATGGTAGGTCCCTCGACCTTGTCAGTGTCTTCCCAAACCCTCCTGATTTTATCCTTTTATCCTCTTTTTGCCTTTTTGAATTTTACCCTCTCCCACCCCAATCAGTGATGTTCGGCCTTAGTGAACAGCTGCATCCCTCCGGTACAGCTGGGAACTCGAAGCAGGGAGCCCTGGTCTCCCCACTTTCACATGTGGCTTCGTGGTTCTCCTGTGGAGGTGGTCCTGGCTGGAGTGGCCGCAGGGCAGGGGAGAGAAGTGAGCCAGGAAGCCACGTAAGGATGACTAGGCAAATGAGCACCTAAGTCAGGCACGGTTTTAAGGCAGGGACCAATGTAATATAAGTGAAAAAGCAAGATAAGTGTCCTTGGGATCTGTGTGGGGAGGAAGGGGAGTGGCCTTAGTTGGAGACGGGTATCAGTTTAGCTCTGGGAGAAAATCAGTGATGTCTGAAGGTGTTGGGGGTGGGGCTGCAGCTAGGTGGGGAGGGGACTTTTCTGGGTTGTGAGCGGAAATAAAATGCAGAATTTCCTCTGGTCTGTGTGTCTCGTCTTTGAGAGGAGTTGGGGAGAGTGACTACTAGGGCAGAGACATTAATCAAGATAACAAGGGGGCTGGGGATTTAGCTCAGTGTTTCTGCTTCCTGCCTCAAAAGCACAAGGTCCCGAGTTTGATCCCTGGTACCGACAACAAAAAAAGATAACAAGGCTGGGTGTGGTGGTGCACATCTGTAATCCCAGCACCGTGGGAGGCTGAGGCTGGAGGACCCCAAGTTTGAGCCCAGCCTGTGTAATTTAGTGACTTAGCTAGATGTCTTGAAATTTAAAAAAAAAATAATAAAGAGGCTGGAGATAGAGAGCTCAGTGTGAAGGGGCTGCCTTCAATCCTCAGTACTGCAAAAAATAAACGTATTTGTTCCTTGCCAAGTGTAACAAGACTAAGTCAAAATGTACCCAGTGCAGCTGAAAAAGAAACCAGACCATTTTAAGCTCAGACTGTTTATTGCTTCCATTGACAGAGGGAGAATGAAAGGTGCCGGATCCCTGAAGCCCTTGTCACACACACTGAAAGGACCACATGGAAGCAGAGGGCCGGTCAGCCCAGGAAGGGTCACCAGGTCCCTACTGCTGACCCCCCAGTTCACCCCCATCCTCACATTCTTGGGGAGCTTCTCAGGCTCCCAGGTGCTGTGATTCCACCTGTCCCCCTTTGTTGGCAGCTTACTCCAAGGACTCTTAAGCACTTTCTGTACGTCATTTCAGTGAATCCAGCAGGAAGGTGGCATCACATTTTCGGATGAAGAAATGTTGGCCACAGTCCCTTTGCATACATCTGCTGGGTGGGGAGGGAGCCAAGTGGGCACAGGGTGGGTAAATGAAGTCATGTTTTCTGCCACCAAGTTACCTCCATTCTGGCAGGGGAGATAAATGTCATGTGGACAAATGTACCACTTACAAATGTTTTTGCCTGCAAGTAACAGCAGATCTGACCATGGATTGCATAAACATAGAATTATTTTCTCTCACCTATGTTGAGAGGTCAGAGCTGCTGACACTGTTCAGAGGCTTGGGGAGGTTGTTACTGAGTACTGATTTTCTTAGCCTTTTCCTCATGGTCACAATATGGAGGCCCCAGCTCCAGGGATCACATCTGAATTCAAGGCATGAGCTCAAAATTTTCCTAGAAGATTCTAGCAGACTTTGGCTCACATCTTATTGTCTGTAGCCAAGGGCCTAGCTGATCTCATACCTGCAAGGGAGGCTGAGAATCCGTGTGTTTGGAGGGAAATCAGGGAGAAGAGAGCAGATGGATGTTGAGTTCAGGAAACAATGTGTGTCATCCTCAACGTGACTGTTCTTGTTGGACCAAAAATTTGCACCTAGGAAGCCTAACTGGGCAGGTGTGGAGATGCTCAGAGTGGGGAATTCAATGTGTGCTTGCTGAACATCTTTCCCACATGCCTTGTGTGGTTCTGAACATGGCATAGAGCGATGAACAGACTCCATGCAGCTGGCAGTCCAATGAGGGAGAAATAATCAGGGAGATTGCAACATATGGTTAATAAGTCTTCTCTATAATCCCAGCACTTAGGAGGCTGAGGCAGGAGGATTGCAAGTTTGAGGCCAGTTTAAGCTATATATTGCGTTCAAGGCTGGCCTGGACAACATAGTGAGACCTTGTCTACAAAAAAACAATAAAACCAAAACAAAAATTTGTCAATGAGTGCTGATATTTATTTGTTTGTTTGATTTTTTTTGATACCGGGGATTGAACTCAGGACCTTGAACTTGCAAGGCAGGCGCTGGAACCACTGAGCTAAATCCCTGGCCCAAATGCTGATATTTACATATAGTAATCAAATATGATGATGAATGTTTAAGTTCAAAAAATTTATTACAACTTGGGAGGCTGAGCAAGGAGGATGGCTGAGAGTTCGAGGCCAGCCTAGGCCACTTAGTGAGTTCAATGCCAGCCTAAACTACATAGCGAGACCCTGTCTCAGAAAACAAAACAAAGTATTCGTTACAGAAAAAGACACATCAAGATTAGTTCTCAAAATACCCCTCACTGAGTGTGGTGGCCCATATACTCCTAGCACTCAGGAGACTGAGGCAGGAGGATCGTACCAAGTTCAAGGCCAGCCTGGGCTACATACCGGAATTCTGTCTTGAAAAACCAAAACCAAAACTAGACAAACAAAAATGCACACTTGTTTCAAACATGCCCCATTTTTCTTCCCACTTCCTGAGGCAGTTCTAGGAATCCTCTGTTGTGTGTCTACAATATGGGATCAAAAATACAGCGAATGCCACTTCCAAGTGCCTTCTCACAGTAAAGCAGACTCATAAAAACATGACACTATGTCCTTATCCCCCTTAGCCACAGTGGCACTGTGTGACTTCTGGCTCTTCAAAGTCAAAATGACCATGGAAGGTCAACATTTTCAATTGATTTAGGACATTGAGGCAGCCAACTAAAGACACAAAAGAGGACTTTAAGAACTGCTTCAGAAAGTGGCAGGAAAGATGTGTGTTTGAAGCAAGGAGTGTATTTTCAGGAGGATTAAATGCAATGTGTCTTTTTACCATAATACATTTTGAAAAAGTAAACATGCCATATTTTTTGATCATACCTCATATATATATTTTTCTTATGGTATTTTAAAAAATTTCCAAATTGTGAAATATTATCATCTTAACCATTTTTAAGTATGCAGTTCAGGAGTCTTCAGTCCAGGCATATGATTGTGCAGCCAACCTGGGAGTTCATTTTTTGTTGTTGTTTTGAGGCAGGGTCTCATTACGTAGTTCAGGCTGGCCTTGAACTCACTATGTAGCCCAGGCTGGCCTCGAACTCACGGTTAGCCTCTTGCCTGAGCTTCCCAAGAGCTGGGATTACAGGGATACCCCACCACACCTGGCTCCCAGAGTTCATTTTCCTCTTGCAAAATGGAAACTGCATCCATTCAGCAGTGACTCCCCATTCCCCTTTCCCCTGACACTGGCACTTTGCTGCCTTTTGTCCCTGAATTTGACTGCTCTAGGTATCTCATATAACTACAATCATGTCCTTGTGTGAACTGGCTTATTCCACTTAGTGTAATATGTTCAAAGTCAACCCATGTTGTGGCAGCTGTCAACTTTCCTGTCCTTTTCAAGGCTGAATAATATTCCATCACATATGTAGGCCATGACATTTTGCTTATTCATTCATTGGTCAGTGAACATTGATTTGCTTCCGTTATTTGGGTATTCCCAATAATGCTGCTATGCACATAATTACACCTATCAGTTCTTTTGGATTTATTCTCAGAAGTAGAATTGCTCCTTCAGTCTTCGGATCTGTGGTTGGTTGATCAGTGATCCTCTGAAGCACAGGGCCATGTCCTCAGCTCTAGAACCTTGAATGGGACTTATTTGGAAAAAGGCAGGTGTGGGCTCTGCATCTAATGACAAAGGTCCTTGTGAGGGACACACAGAGGAGAGTGCCATGTGGTGACGGAGGGTCAGATTGGACAGACATAGAGCCAAGGAACTAAGAAAGCCGCTTATGTAGGAAGAAGGGAAGGAAGGTCCCTCTAGAGTCCTGCAGGAGGGGCCTGGTGACACCTGGATTCCAGGCTTCTGGCCCCCAGGACTGTGAGAGTGGATTTCTGCTGTTTTAGGCCAATAGGTTTGTGGCGAGCTGTTGTGGCAGCCCAGGCAGACACACAGCAGCTCAGGCGATGGTGGTGAAGGTCTTCTTCCTGGGCTTTTGCTTCATTAGCCCACACTTCTTGGTGCTGAGCAGAGCAAGATTTAAAAAGAAGGGAAGCGGGCCGGGGATTTAGCTCAGTGGTGCGGCCGCCTGCCTCGAAAGTACAAGGTCCCAAGTTCAATCCCTCGTACCAAAAAAAAAAAAAAAAGAAAGGGAGCAAAACATTTCTGATGTGCCACGGCCATGAACCAGAGTTCCTGTGGATTTCCACCTGTGTATTCAGCTGCGGGACAGGGGCCTCAGGGCTTGAGTTTCATTTGATGAATCCCGGACTGGGACCCCAGGTCTCTGGCAGGAGTACAGGATGTCTGGGTCAAGTTCAGGTGCAGGTTTGCAGCCATGCTCCCAGGACAGTGTTCCCTGCTGAGCCCCTTCTTGGGTTTTGCTTCCCATGGACTTTGGCCTGGGAAGTCCTGGCCAATTGCCGTTAAGAAGTTCTTGTCCTTATTGTGCAGATGTTTTTCTGACATTTTTCTATACATGGGTGGGATGGTCGGTTTGAGCAGTTTAGAGTACCAGTGTGCCAGCACTTCAGGGTTCATGTCTAGCTCAGATCATGTGTTCAGACTTGCATGTTTAAGCCTGAGCTCAGGAATGTCATCCATGTACTTTAACATGTTTGTAATCCCAGCCCTAGGGAGGCTGAGGCAGGAGGACGCAGAATTTGAGGCCAGCCTGGACTATGTAGCAAGAGCTTGTCTGAAAAAAAAGGAGAGGGAGGCCGGGGATTTAGCTCAGTGGTTCCATCACCTGCCTCACAAGTGCAAGGTCCTGAGTTCGATCTCCAGTACAAAAAAAAAAAACATAAAAGAAGAGAGAGAGAGAGGCAGAGAGAGAGAAAGAGAAGAGATCTGGATGGATACCTGTTATAGAGTATGGGAATCGACTTAAAATCTGACCAGTGTTTAACAATGGATGGAATCACTTTGTGAAATTATATTGATGTGAAATGATTTTTAATACAGTTATAATTATTAGCACACATTAATTGCACAGGAATGAGTTTCATTGTGATATTTTCATCAAAATGATTTCTGAGGCTGGGAATTTAGCTCAGTGGCGCCACGCCTGCCTGGCAAGTGCAAGGTCCTGAGTTCGATCCCTGGTACCCAAAAAAAATTTCTTATTGGAGATCATGGTCAGAAAAATTTGGAACCCACTGTCATCAGTCCCCATGGTTGTGCAGTGATTTTCTGACAACTGCCCCTCAGTGGTCCAGCCACTACCTGCCTCAACCAAATGATTCTCAGGAGCGCGGCCTTAGCAGGACACTGCAGCCAGGTGGCACCTGTGCCCCACTGGAAGTGCATTTTGTTCCCAACCACTAGGGCCCAAGGCCCAGAATCCTTGTTATTGGAACAAGAAGCACTAACCTGGAATATGTTAGCCACAGCAGAGCCCAACAAGAGGATGCAGGAACTCAAGACCACACATGGCTCTCCTGAGACCTCTGTCCGTCCCTCTTCTCACTATATCCTTGTCCCCCTCCATGCCCTAGACAAGGCCTGTGCCCTGGGGCTCATAGCTCAGAGGGGAGGACACACAAGGTCCAGATTCATGAATAGTACGGGGAAGCACAAGCTTCTGGTGCCCACAAACAGGTCACTCGCCAGCTGTGTGACCTTGGACAGCTTGCTTAGCCTCGCTGTGCCTCAGTTTCCTCTGCTATTATAGGGTATGACAACAGCGCCCACTTCATAGGGCTGTTGTAGGCAGGCCCTGGGTTAATACTTGTAGAGTACTCAGATGGGCCTGGCCTACTTGTTAAACTAATCATTTAAAATTCCCAAATTATAGAAAAGAAAACAGGACTAGACCAAGGTAGTGAATTACAAAGTCACATTTATTATTCACCTTGGGAGAATCTCACAGCGATGTGAGTCCAGTGACTCTGATTCCAGCTTGGAGTTGCCCCTGTGCTTGTTCTCTGCAGCAGGAGTGATGCCAGCTCCCACTGCTCAGCACCAACTTCTCCTGCAGAGGACACGGCCAGTGTTGGTGTCAGGGCTGGGGCTGGACTTTGTTGCTTCTGGGTCACAAGAAAAGCTGGACAAGTACGTAACTTATTTTATTTTATTATTCTGTCTTCCATATTTGAGATTTGTTTTTTTGTACCTTAAACTCGGGACCTTGTGCTTTCGAGGCAGGTGGTGGAACCACTGAGCTAAATCCCCAGCCCTCTTCCATATTTGAGATTTATTGGTTGTATTGAGGATCAGGTCATTTCACTCTGTACACAATTCTTAACATGTGTACTGAAAACCTAAAAGTCATGTATTGTTTCTTTTTCAGTTACTCCAGTGACTTTCTAGCTTTAAATTTGGAGGCAAATTTTCATAACATGTGTACTGAAAACCTAAAAGTCATGTATTGTTTCTTTTTCAGTTACTCCAGTGACTTTCTAGCTTTAAATTTGGAGGCAAATTTTCAGTAAAATAATTAAGTACCAGTATCTTTGAATGCTGATAAAGAGTTACATAAGTCCCACTGATTCACAATTTTATATCATATACACTACATGCTCAAATTTTTTATCTTTAACAGCACATTAACAGAATTAGGCAAACTGGACTACACATTTCTGACAGAGCAACGATCAGGAAGTAGGTTGGTTTTTTTGTTTGTTTTTTTTTGTGGTACCGGAGAACAAACTCAGGACCTAGCACTTGCCAGGCAGTCACAGTGCCACTGAGCTAAATTTCCAGCCCAGGATGTAGTTTTCTTTAGGAAACAATTCTACTAAAAACAACATGGGAATAGAAGTCATTTAAAATATCCATGGATGGGGATTTAGCTCAGTGGTTCCACTGCCTGCCTTGCAAGCACAAGGACCCGAGTTCAATGCCCAGTACCAAAAAAAACCCCAACAAAATATCCAAGACATAGTAAATGGATGACCATGACTCCTAATTGTCATTTAGTATGATTTGTATTGTGGGATATGAAACTAACCCTCACCTATGGAATGTTAAGTGGATACCCAAGACAGTCCAAGCCTGCCGTAATTCAATATCCCACTATTTTCTGGTCATACCACCCCCCCCCAAAAAAAACCCCAGTTAACCTCTAAAAAATCATTTACATTTTTAAAATCCAACAAGGTGGGATTCCCTCCTTTAGAAGATGTTTCTAGAGCTACTGAAAAACTTGCATTTACAAAATAGTTGACAAAAATATTCCTCTGGATTGTACAAGAAGGGAGACAGGGACCCCCGATAAGGCACGGTGTGTGATTAATCAGGCTTGGCTTCCTTCTCTTCTGCTTCATTGTTTTCCTCGTTTTTAGTTTCTCCATTTTCCGAAGGTGAATCTTCCTTAGTTTCTTGATTAGCCACTGCCTCCTGCTTTCTCTTTTTTGTCCCAAGATTTATCCTTTCCGGCTGTCTTTTTTTGTTTTGTTTTGTTTTGTTTTTTTGAGGCAGGTCTCCCTTTGTAGTGCAGGTTGGCCCTGAACTCACTATGTAGCCCAGGCTGGCCTCAAACTTGTGGCGATCCTCCTGTCTCAGCCTCCTGAGTACTGGGATTACAGGCGTGCACCATCATGCTTGGTTCCTGCTGTCTTTTTTGAAATCGTCTCCACTTTTTTGGGAGTAGGTTTAGCCAGACAACCTCACAGCCTTGCCAGTCTCTGCTTGGGCTCCTCCTTCGCTGCCCCTTTGGCAGAGCCGACCTTCCTCTTGGGCACCATGGCAATGCGGGCTTGCATGTCAGCCGAGGTGCAAGGGAGCCTTGTGGAGCTAGGGTTGGGACTGTTGGTGCCCCTCCCACCCTCACCCATTTTAATAGGTTAATAAGCAGCACCCAGACTGTGACAGTGACCTAGAGGAAGAGTAGAATGAGCGGCGACAGCATTCACGCAGCCTCACTGCCTCTGCAGGATGAAACTGTAGTGAATTCTGAGAGGAGAGAAAGGAACCCAGCAACCTGACAAATGCTCTAACCAGGCCTGCTCTCACGCCTTTTGAGCTTGGCCCCCGTGTGCTCCTCTGGGGGAAACAGCACTAGGAAGAAGGGTTTTGCCCCACTGGTGGCACCCGAGGTCCTGTCCATGCCCTCCGAGTCTCTGTGCAACCTCCACAAGGAGATTACAATCAACACAAAGCGAAATTCTAAAATGCTGGGAAGGATTTGGCGGGCAGCGGCTGTAGCTCATTGCTTTACAAAGAGATAGGGGAGGGTTGTGTGAGTGAGGACTGTGAGTCCTCAGGCCGCCTCCTGCTGTTTGACAGCAGCGGCCTTTCAGCACCGTGGCCGGTGACTCTGCAGGGGAATCCTGCATGGCGGCCAGGGCAGAGTGGGGCTGGAGCCAGGTGGTTCTTCCACGAGTCCAGACTGAGGTAAGTTTGGCTGTGTGTGGGGGCTGTGGAATCGCCCATCTGCTTTAGCAGGAAGCACCTTTGCCCCGACCAAATGCCTGACATCCAATCATGGAGCATTAAGTGACAAAGCCACTCACACACACGGCTACTCCATCTTTCTTTGAGGGTCAGACATTTCATCTGTTTCCTTCTTTTGACTACCATGAAATCATGCCACCACCAATATTCATGTGCAAATTTTTGCTTGAACATCTGGTTTCCATTCTTTTGGGTATCTACCTTGAAGTGGAATTGCTGAGTCATGTGACAATTCCGTGTTTAAGGTTTTGAGGAACTGCTAAACTGTTTCCCACAGAGGCTGTGGCATTTTCTGTTCCCACCAGTAATTTACTAGAGTTCATTTTCTCGTCACACGTGATGATGCATGTTATTTTCTGGTATTTTCTTTTTGTTTTCCAGTCCAGTTTACCTGAAGGACATTTCATTCAGCACCAAGGACAGCGCCCTTCCTGCCGCCAATGGCATCTGTAAACTGCAGAGAGAGCTACAAAGTTGCAGGCAACAGTGATCCGAGACTATCTCCGTTTTCTGTCTGTGTATGTGGTGCTGGGGATGGATTCCAGAGCCTGTTTAACACACACTCCCCCAGGTGGGCATGATAGCCTATGCTGGTAATCCCAGCACTCGGGAGGCTGAGCCAGGAGGATCCCTGAGAGTTCAAGGCCAACCTGGGCTACACATAGTGAGTTCAAGGCCAGCTTGAACTATATAGTGAGACCCTGTCTCAAAAAACAAAACAAAACAAAAAAAACCTCCGGCACTGAGCCACACCATGGCCTCTGACATATTTTTAAGGGAGAAACAAGAAGGAGGTCACTGTCACTAGAATCAAATGACTTTCCCTATTGGTATCTCCGCTACAGCCAAGCAAACATGCTATTTTTTTTTTTTTCTTCTGGTACTGGGGATCGAACTCAGGACCTTGCAGTTTTGAGGCAGGTGTGGCCCCACTGAGCTACATCTCCAGCCCCAAGCATGCTATTATTATCCCAGGTCCCTGCAGTTCTTGTCTCTCTTCCCAATTCTCTCAGCTATAGCTGCATGACTTCCTCCCTCTCATCCTGCAGAATTCTGCTCTGTTCTCATCTTTTTAGTGGAAGGATACGAAGAACTGTTGAGGATGCTGAGGAGGGGCAGAGGGAACCTAGCCTGGCATGTGGGACTTACATATGTTTTTGGTTTTTTTGGAACCGGAAATCGAACTCGGGACCTTGAGCTTTCGAGACAGGAGGCAGAACCACTGAGCTAAATCCCCAGCTTTGGGACTCACATATGGATGAACATACCCCAGGAGAAATGAAGGGATCAAAGCCCTGCAGAGGGAACCAAGGAGCTACGGAGACACAAAGCAGGGCAGAGAGACCCAAGCCTCTGTGTAGGACACCCCTTTGGATGGAAGGCACCTGAGAGAAACACGGATTGATCCCAGGCATTTTGCAAATGACTGGGGAGCTGCAGAGGTCCCTGAGGAGGCCTGGATGGAACGGAAGAGGTGCAGAGCAGAAGGAAGGACCCGAGGAGGGGTGGAGGCACCTGAGGAGATGGGAAAGGACTTGAGAAGCTCAGAAGAGACCAAGGAACCATGGTGGAACTGGAGACAACGGGGTTGAGTCCCACCGATAGAAAGAAGACTCTCCCCCGTATGGAGCATCCAACTCAGGACCTTGCACTTGCCAGGCAGGCAAGGTGCCACTGAGCTACATCCCGGCCTCAGGAAAGAAGACCTGTGGAAAAAGAAGGAACCTCTGAAGCCCGGGGAAGAGAACTGGGAGGGCCGGAGGAACCCACGGAGGCCCAATGGGCTCCAGCAGGCCCAGAGGGACCAGAGGTCAGAGATTGGGAAACCTGAAGGCCAGAGTGACTGGAGGAGGGACAGAGGGGCTTGAGGAACCTGAGGAGGACCTGTGGAGGGACCCAAGAGAGCTCAGGCTGCTTCGGCCACCCAAAGTGCCCATGGAGGAGCCCTGGTGGGCTGGAAAAGGACGATTCTAGGTGAAGGGATCTGAGTCCTGATGAAGATACCCCAGTTGGGAGGGGGCTGAACCGAGCTCAGACCCAAGGAGCTTGGAGTTGTGGGAAGAAGCAGAGCCAGAGAGAGAGAGGGGTGGAGGAGGGTAAGAAGGAGGGGATGGGGGGGTCCAGGTGCAGCACCAGGGGGCTTCCTGGGCATGGATATCCTAGGTGAGGTGGGGTATGGGGGCCTAAAGCAAGAGAAGAGAGAGCCAAACCAACCCGCCTATGCCCAGGAGGAGCAGAGAGAGGCCCTGCAAGCCCAAGTCCAGCTGAAAGAGCTAGACTGTGGTTCAGAGGCCATCGAAGGCCCAGTGCTCAGAAGGTAGCTAAGCGATGAGCAGTGCACATAGACTGGGGTCCTGGGATCAGGCAGAGCATGTCTGCTGGCTGGGCAGGGAGCGTGAAGAATTCCACTGAAGATTCAAGGGCAAGTGCCAGAGCAGGACTTGAAAGGAGCTGGGTTTCTAGTGGTGCTCTCGAGGAAACAGGTCCTAGTGCTTGACCAGCCTCAAACTTCCTGGAGAACAAGGAACCCGGGACTACATGGAGTACGATTGCTTGCAGGACTTTAGGGAACCCTGCACCTCAGTGAAGACCTCACAGACCAGCAGACCTGCTCAGTGTGCCTGGTGCTTCAGTCATGGCGCCCTAGTACCCTAGGAGGAGCCCAGGAGGCCCTAAAAAGAGCCTAGTGTTGTGGCCATCCGGCATGGCCCACATCTCAAAAGATCATTCTGCTATGCCTTCTGTAGCTACATCCAGAGAGGAGGTGAGATTCCACACTTCCCAGGCACCACTCCTGACACTGCATCAGAACATTGCTGTATTGAGGGTCCAGACCTCCATGCACGAGTCATTTTTGTGGGTGGGTGGGTTCCTAATATGGAGAGCAAATCACAAAGAGATCACTCATATCCCTGAAAGTTTATGAGGATATAAACCCTAGAAAGCAAACTCAGGCGCCTTAGAAATCCCCAAAGAACCAGGGATTTAGCTCAGTGGCACCGTGGCTGCCTCGAAAGTGCAAGGTCCTGAGTTCAATCCCTGGTACCAAAAAAAAAGAAATCCCTGAAGATGTCCTTTGACTAGCCAGTATGGTGTGTGTGTCCCTAGCAGTGATGGACAAAGGCAGATTGGCCTTCGGCAATGAACTGAGTTCTCTAATGACAGTGACACACAGATCCCAGAACACCTGTCATCCTATTCTCATAAAATCTGAAATGGTAGAAGCCTGGAGAAGCAACCTTCTCAACTGAAATGAGGAGGGGAGCTCAGCAGGCAGATTCCTCAATTCTCCCCCACAAAAAAACGACCACACTTTAACCCCAACCATGAGGCTCAAACTCAGTCCCAGGAGGCAACCCTTGCATTTTCCCAGCTGATGCCTAAGTCTCAGTGCCCAAGTTTCAGATGGATATTTTTTTTTCACCTAAGCGGCCAGGTAATGTATTCAGATAGTAAGTTCCAAGTGGATCTACTAGATAGTACCAAGATAGAAGAGCCCTGGGAGAACCCTGGACATACTGTCATTCCATGTCACCTTTGACTGGAAGAAGTATTTCCTGGAGAGTGGCCTGGGAGGTGCCTGTGGGGTAGGGCACAGTGAGAAGGTGCCATGGATGAAGCAAAGGATGAGGCCTCGCCTGTCCCCTCCTCTGCCTGTGCCTTCACCTGGGACTTGCAGCCTCCTGAACTTGGGAGATCAGGTTCTGCCATTTATCAGCCAGCAGCCTGTGGTGTCTGCCAGAATAGCAGGGGAGACTGAGGCAGAGCAGCTGAGCTTTGGTTTCAGGTCCCAGAACCCCGGGGGACCCACGGAGGACCCCAGTCCCCCATCCCACTTCCTCTTTTATTTCTGGGGCTCCTGGGGTGCTGGTGGTGAGCTCGGGCCTGCTGTGTACCCCGCCTGCACTGTGCTTCTCCTCCCAGATCCTCCTGGAAGCCTAAGCATGCACGTTTCTGGACCAAGTGGCACAGGTCAGGGGACGCCCCCCAGGCGGGGTGAGGAGCAGGGCTCTGTCAGTCAGGACTGAGGGACCCAGGGGGAAGTGAATGGTGTCCCCTCCACACAGTTCCATGACAAGTGTGTTCAGCTGGTGACTGCAAAGTGATCGGCACCCTTTGCCCATCTGAGCCACTAACCTGGCGGTGTCGGTGAGCTCTGGTGCCGCCTGGGGGAGTTCTGCTCGTGCTCCTCTGAAGATTCCCCTGCACCCACAAAACCAGGCAGATGCTTCTCCACCGTGAGCTCCCTTTCCCAGGGCCCCTGTGACCTGGCCAATTCAGACTCAGGATGCCAGGGCTGGGGCCGAGGGCCTCTGGTTCTGCCTGGGGACCGGCCAGGAGGACCTGTTCTCTGAGCAGCCCAGCACAGAGCTCAGCACAGCTTGCTTCTCCTCAGGTTCCCGCTGAGATCCGCCCATGTTCAGGCTCTGAGGGGCACCTGAGGGGAGAGAGGAGATCAGTCCCGAGGGCCCTGGAAGGAGACAAGTGTGGACAGGAAAGTGTCCCAACACGCAGGGGACAACCCAGCAGTCTGTGAATGGATGGAGGTGGAGAAGGTGGGTGATGCCTACCCTGGAATGGAATTCACCCAGGAAACAGCCTAGTCTGACCCAGGCTGTCCTCAGGCTGTACTTGGGCGGCCCAGGCACATGGTGCTGAGTGACAAGCCAGGCACAAAGCACCACCCAGGCCATGACTGTGTTCACGAGCCGGGTCCCAGACAGGGGACCTGGACAGACAGAGTGGCTTGGTGATTACTTAGGGCTGGGGACAGAAAGACGGGGGAGATGACACCAGGCTTCTCCCTGGTGTGTGGAAATGTTCTAAGTTTTGGTACAGATCCCTTCTCCTCCAATAGAAGCAACAGGAAAAGGAGCAGGGTTTTGAGCCTTAGGCCCAGGCTCAGCTCTGCCTGTCTCTGTCTCTCCAGCCCTGGACACCCAGGGAAATGGCTCCTACCTGGAGGCCCAGAAAGGCCAGTTCCTGAGGCTCCTCCGTGCTGCTGACAGCCGGCCCCCGGCCCCGAAGACCTGGGACCTGGAGGGCAGAGTCCTTGCTTAGTCCCAAACCTCAGGACGAAGACCTCTAAGGCTGGAGCTGCCCGGGGTGAAGCCTGGGGACGCGGGGCGCTACACCTGCCGGGCAGAGAACAGGCTGGGCTCCCAGCACAGCACCCTGGAGCTCTCAGTGCAGTGTGAGTGACCAGGGCCCTGTTCTGGGAGGCCAGGGTGGGGACAGGGGCCGGGCAGGTCCCAGAGCTGGGAGGGGGCTGGAGCCCCAGGCCTGCAGGGCCAGGCTTCTCATCTGCCTGCATGGGTGGGCAGTGTGTGGGGCCCCAGCGGGTGCCTGTCCCCTCCCACCACCTCCCTCTCTGGGATGGATCCTCTGCCCAGAGGGAAGCCCAGCCCTCCAGAGCCTCTCCCCTGTCTCCACTGCAGATCCTCCAGAGGACCTGAGAGTGACGGTTTCCCAAGCAAACAGGACAGGTAGGAGGGGGACAGAGGGACCAGGGCCTCCCGCTGCTCACTTGGGGGCCCAGGTGGTGGAGCCACACACGGATTCTGCCTCTGCCCTCCCCAGTCCTGGAAATCCTCGGGAACGGCTCATCCCTGCCCGTCCTGGAGGGCCAGAGCCTGCGCCTGGTGTGTGTCACCCACAGCAGCCCCCCAGCCAGGCTGAGCTGGGCCCGGGGGACACAGCCCCTGAGCCCCTCCTGGCCCTCAGCCCCTGGGGTCCTGGAGCTGCCCCGGGTGCAGATGGAGCATGAAGGGCAAGTCAGCTGCCATGCGGAGAACCCGCTGGGCACCTGGAGTGTCTCTCTCAGCCTCTCTGTGCACTGTGAGTGCAAGGGAATGGGGGACTGGAAGATCCTGCACTGGTGGTTCAGGGAGGGGCTGTTGGGCCAGCCCTGGGCCACCAGCTCCCTGAGCCTCTTCCTGGGGCTGAGCTCTGGCCTCAGGCTCAGCGGGAGGCCTAGACTGTCTATGGGGCCCAGAGTCCCACTGTTCTGTGGCTGCCAGCTCAGGACATAATGGCAGGGGCTTAGGGAGGAGGGAGGCGGACCTGAGGAGATGAAGCCCAGGGCCAGGGGAGATGCCCTGGGGCAGGATGGGAAGTGGGAGGCCCGGGGACAGGGCCCTGTTCTCTGCTGGAGGCTGAGGAGCTTCAGAGCCACAGGCGTGTGGGCTCTGAACAGAGGCGAGAGCATCTGCAGGCCTCGTCCAAAGCCCCGGGGTCCACAGGGAAGCCAGGGGGTTGGGGGCCGTCCCTGCTGGTGTGGCTGCTCTGCTCTCTGACTGTCCTGCCTGGGCTTCTCCAGGTGAGTGTCACCACAGGAAGGAGGCCAGGTGGAGGGAGGGCGGGAGGCTGGTCCCGGGATCCCCATAGGCCCCCTGGGAGGGTCCGCGCCCACCCCCGATCCCAGCCCCTGGGAAGGGTCTGCTCGTGTCCTCACAGAGCCTCCTGTTAGATGTGCCCCCCCACCTCCCCCACCTCATTCGGGCTCTAGCCTCCTTCAGCAGGGACACCAGCTCCACTGACTCTGAGCCACGGGGACACAGAGTCCTGCCCTGCTCCCTCAGGAGGAAGGCTGGCAGGAAGGAAAACACCAGGATGCGGGCTGCACGGAAGGACGCCCCGTGTGCCCCGGATTCTGTCTACAAGGTGAGTGGGAGCCCTCTGTCACCCAAACCCACATGGTCACCCCCAGGAGGGCCATGACCGCTCCATCCCAGTGACCTGGAGACTCCTGATGCCCACATGGCTTTGGCTGCTGGGTCCCCATGATGCAGCCCCCACTGCAGCAGCCAGCACCTCCCCGGGCTCAGCTCCCTCTGGTCCCTGAGTCCAGGCTGCCCAGGCCTCACCCACTGGGGGCTCAGATCCCACCAGGCCCCACTCCCGCCCCTCACTTCTCTCTGGACCCCCGAGCGCCCCCCTTCCTGTGTCTCACCTACAATGGAGAAGCCCCGAGATCCCTGACACTACTGTCAGCTGCACACCTTGGGGGTCTCCTGCACCCCCTCACTCTGAAGCCACCTGCAGAGTTGGGCTCCCTGAGACCACATTCAGCTTTGGGGAACCACTGAGGGGCCACCCAGAGCCCCTGTGCTGTGTCTGTCACTGAGAAGTGGAGAGGAGAATAGGCCAGGGGAAGAGGTGCAGGGGGCAGGGTCTGAGGGAGCAGGCTGAGCTGGGGTTGTTCTCTCCCTGCAGAGTGACAGGGATGGTGCTCAGTCCTCTCAGCAACTGGGTGACAACCGAAGTGAGCATTGCCCACAGGGAAGTCTCCTGAGCCCGTGGTCCAGGGTTCTGGTGGTGGCTGGGCACTCTGGCAGTGTGCACACCCATGGCTGACCTTAGTCACCTTCCAGCTCCTCTGGAGGTCAAATTGATGCCCCACAACAGAAGCCAAACAGAGAGCTGGCCTGGCCTGCACTTCCCTAGGGGACAGCGATGCTCCCGTCCAGCAGGACAAGGCTGGGGCTGCAGTTAGAGGCCCCCTCCCCGGAGCTGGCACCAAGGGTCCACCCTGCCTTTGGGCCAGGTGCAGCCTTCACTGACAGTGTCCTCTGCCCCACTGTGTCTGCCTGAGTCTGAGGAGTCCAGAGCTGCCCGAGGCTGTGCAGGGCTGAGCCAACCCTGCTGTCTGTGCACCCCCACCTCTGTGCACCTGTCACACCTGGCTGTTAGTAACTTACCTGCTGGCCACAGTCATGCCTGTGTCATTGCTCACTACTGGGTGGGTGAGGTGTGGCGTGGGGTCTGCTCTGCTGCCCCCTGAGAGTGCAGGGCAGGGAGGGAACTGTGGCTCGGGACAGTGGGGTGGAGTCAGGGGTCCTGACAGGAACCTGGACCTGACCACTCATTACAGGTGAGGTTTGACAATCGGTGATTAGTCTAGGTTTATCCATCTGGGAAAAGGGATAATAGCATCTTCCCTGGGGACTTGTTAGATGTTTACAAAATGGCCATTCAGTTACCAAGAGGAAGCCATTATGAATAACAAGTATTTTTTTATTAATAACAAGTATGTTTGCAATGAATATGCATGAATGGATGCACGCATGAATGAATGAGGGCCCATTGTTAGGAAGTGAACAGAGGGAGATGACATGCTCAGTTTCCTGGTTTGCTTGGGGCTTCTCCTTCCTGTGCCCCATCCCCCATTGCCTTCGTGTGTGCCCTTCCCCCTTCTCTTCAGGGTCACAGCCAGGAGAACTGGCCAGGCAGCCTGTACCACCCAGCCCCTGCTGCAGCCGTGATGCCCCCAGGGGAGGAGCCAGAGCACCACTACAGGGCCCTCAGGCTCCAGCAGGACCCCAGCACCTCAGAGTACTCACAGCTCCGGATCTGCAGTGCTGGCCTGCAGTGGCGCCCAGTCTTCTCTGGGAGGGAGACCCAGGGACAATGCTTGCACCCGCGGATGTCCAGGTCACCAGGGTTCCGGCTGGCACTCCAGAAAGGGGACTCTCCCTGACCTGGAAACTCAGCTCCCATTTCAGTGCAGACTTTGAGCAGGTGACTGATGTTACTCTAGGATCGATCTCCTCTGTCAATGCACACAATAACCTTGACCCCCAGGCTATTGACCTCAGGGAAGCGATTCCCTTAAAGACCTGGGGGTGGGTGTGCAGAGAGCTCTCACCTACCACCTCCCAGGGCCCCACCAGGTGTGGAGCCCCAGGTCTGACCCCTTGGCCCAGTGGGGCTCCTGCAGGATGCCTCTACCTGCTGTAGCTCCTCCCTCTGAGTGTGGCAGGGATTTGATTTTCACCATAGAATGTCACAATACAGAAGAGATGCCAGTCCCGTGATGGGATTACATAAGAGCATAACTTCTGCCTTGCTGGGGGGCTTTTTCCCTTGCTGGTTTCGATTGAGCAAACTGTCATGTTCTCAGTGCCCAGATGGGGAGGACCAGGTGGCCAGGACTCAGGCTGGCCTCAGCCAAGAACTTCAGTCCCATGCCGCACAGGAAATGAACCCTGCCCACTGCCACAGGAGCTTGGAAGCAGGTCCTTCCCTGGTGGGGCCTCAAGGAGACTGCAGCCCTGGCTGTGCCTTCATCACAGCTTCGGGAAAGGCTGACACCTAGGACCAGGTAGGGTGGGCGCAGAGCCGGCCCACAGAAATGATGAGGAGAAACTCGCGGGTTTCTGTTACCGAGCTCTCCTTCATTCCTCATGTAGAAATCAGTAACCAGTACAGAAGTCTTCGCTGGTCTACACAATTCGGCAGGAACTATGTCACTGAAGAGGTGAGAGTAGAGCAGGACCCTGCAGGAAGAGAGAGGGAGGAAGCCATGCAGCTGTAGCTGAGGAAGGAGATGGAGGCGAGAGAAGGAGATGTGGAAGACCCTGGCGCAGTGGCATGCTTGCTTGGCAAGAGACAGTGACCGGGAAACAGAGGCCATTGGGTTCTAGTGACACTGACCTCCCTGCTGTCTCTCCTTTAAGGATCAGTCAGGGCCCGGGTGTGGCTCAGAGGGGGTGTGTGCTTGCTCAGGCCCCAGAATCCATCCCCGAGTCACTCCTGCACACAGTGAGGTCACATTGTCCCCGGGGCATTGTTCCCCACCTCGGTGCTGTCCTGGGCTGGGAAGGAGAGAGCAGCCATTGCTGAAGACACTGCCTTCATATCGACTAGCACTGAAGACAACAAAAGGACGACAACGAAACAGAAACAACAGGCATTATCAAGGATGAGGAGAAAGCGCATTCTAGTCACTTGCTGTGGGAGTGGAAAATGGCACAGCCTCTGTGGGAAGCAGTTCAGCAGGTCCTCCAAACCTTAAACACAATGACCACAGGACTCCGCAATTCCAAATTCTGTACCCCAAAGAATAAAAACAAGCGTTCTAGCGAAAACGTGAATGGTTGTGGCCTCATGATTTCACCACAGCTAAAGATGGAAGCACCATCAACTGTCCAACAAGGGACGATGGAGTAGCCGTGTGTGTGAGTGGCTTTGTCACTTAATGCTCCATGATTGGATGTCAGGCATTTGGTCGGGGCAAAGGTGCTTCCTGCTAAAGCAGATGGGCGATTCCACAGCCCCCACACACAGCCAAACTTACCTCAGTCTGGACTCGTGGAAGAACCACCTGGCTCCAGCCCCACTCTGCCCTGGCCGCCATGCAGGATTCCCCTGCAGAGTCACCGGCCACGGTGCTGAAAGGCCGCTGCTGTCAAACAGCAGGAGGCGGCCTGAGGACTCACAGTCCTCACTCACACAACCCTCCCCTATCTCTTTGTAAAGCAATGAGCTACAGCCGCTGCCCGCCAAATCCTTCCCAGCATTTTAGAATTTCGCTTTGTGTTGATTGTAATCTCCTTGTGGAGGTTGCACAGAGACTCGGAGGGCATGGACAGGACCTCGGGTGCCACCAGTGGGGCAAAACCCTTCTTCCTAGTGCTGTTTCCCCCAGAGGAGCACACGGGGGCCAAGCTCAAAAGGCGTGAGAGCAGGCCTGGTTAGAGCATTTGTCAGGTTGCTGGGTTCCTTTCTCTCCTCTCAGAATTCACTACAGTTTCATCCTGCAGAGGCAGTGAGGCTGCGTGAATGCTGTCGCCGCTCATTCTACTCTTCCTGCAGGTTGTTGTCACATGCTGGATGCAGTTCCTTCTATGAAAATGAGTCAAGTATTTCTGCAGCTCTTCCCGAGACCCAGCCCCAGCCCCAACACCAACACTGGTGGTGTCCTCTGCAGGAGAAGTTGGTGTTGAGCACAGGGAGCTGGCTTCACTCCTGCTGGGGGGAACGGGCACTGGGGGCAACTCCACGCTGGAATCAGAGTCACTGGCCTCACATCGCTTTGAGAGCCGTCCACAGTAATAATAAACGTGGACTTGTGATTTGCTATTTTGTTCTGGTCCTCTGGGTTCTCTGCTATAAAACAGGAATTGTAAACAGGCCAGATGTCTTCCCAGTGCTTCACAAGTATCAGCTGTGGGCCTGCTCACAACAGCCCTATGAAGTGGGTGCTATTGTTGTACCCATTTTATAGCTGAAGAAACTGAGGCACAGTGAGGCCAAGCAAGCTGCCTGGGCTGGAGACTGGTGAGGTTATGGGCACCAGAAACTTGGCTCTGAATTCTGAGACCAGCGCTTCCTGTACTGGATACTCATGAATTCTGATCTTGTCTGCCCTCCCCATTGGACATGAGCTCTGGGGCAGAGGCTTTGTCTGGGGCACACAGGCATTTAAGGGACGCGGTGGAAGGAGGCTGAACGGCTGGTGCAGGAGAGCCACACGTGGTCCTGACCACCCTGCCCACCGCAGGCCTCTGCGGTGGGAAATGGGTTCCAGGTCAGTGCTTCTTGCTCCAGTAAAGGCAGATCTTGGGCGTGGCCTTCTGCCTTGATGGAGCAAAACCCACTTCCGACAGCACAGCTGCCATGGGCCTGCAGTGTCCTGCTAAGGCTGCGCACCAGAGGGAAACATTTGGTTGGGTAGCAGCTGGACCACTGAAGGGCAGTTGTCTGAAAATCATTGCATGAAACTGGGGATGGATGCCAGTGGCTTCCAAATTATTCTGACCAAGATGCCCAGTAAGAAATCATTCTGATGGAAATGTCGCAATGAAACACTAACAGCTTGTGCTGTTGGTATGCACTAATAATTATAATTGTTTAAAAATCATTTCCCGTCAACATAGTCTCTCTCCCAAAGTAATACCACCCGTTTTTAAACACTGGCCTCACTCTTTTAACTCTTTTAACTCCTTTAACCGTCTGTGACAGGGGCCCATCCAGAGAGCCTCAGCACCTGAACGACGCCAGCACTGCAGATACTCAGAGGCCAGGATGTGCAGGTGATGGCCTGCAGGGGACCCCAGGGCTTCTGGGGAGAGGAGGACATCAAGAAGCCTTTCTAGGTGGCCTTTGTGCATGTGAAGAGGGTACTGGCCAGTGCAGGGAAACACGCCCCCTGACCACAGAACTCAGTGCAGGTCCTGAGCAGGTGACTTTCCTACTCACTTTCCTCCTCTGTCCCATGGACACAGCCACCTGACTCGCAGGGCTGCTGTGGACATCGGTGTAGGGATTCCCGTGAGGCATTCAGGGGTGCAGCTGCAGAGAGCACCTCACCTTGGGCTCCTCCTCCCGGGTTGAACACCCAGTGTGGAGGCCCAGGTCTGACACCCTGACCAATCTGGGGCACCCGTGGGGCTGTTCCAGCTGCCCAGCCCTGGAGTCCTGTCTGAGGCTGCCGTGAGGCTGCATGGTAGCCGGGTTCTCCTTCTGCCCCATTTGTTTCTCCCTTCTTCCTCCTCAGCTGCTGATCGCTGGTTGCCACCTTGCTCCCTGCTCCATACTCACAGGCACATCTCCAGAACGGAGCTACTTCTTGGATGTGACCTGTGCATCTTAGCATAACCATTGCTTGTCCATCTGAAATAAATCCTATGAAAGCTGGGTACTTCTTTGTTCAAGTCCAACTTATTTCCCCAATCATTTGTTCACAGGTGTGCACAATGGCACCTGGCTGAATCTGTCTGTTTATCTGTCTTTCTATCTATCTACTTTTCTACCTATGGTAGAGGGGATTGATCCTGGGACTTTGCACATGTTAGGGGAATGCTGAGGCCCTGAGCTACACTCTCAGGCCAGCTGAGAACTGCACAGAGTTTCAACCACTAATTATTCACACTCCAGTGTGGCAGGTAATTTACCTTTAAAGGCTGGATAGTCTGATTTCCTGCTCCTGAAAAGTCACCCCTGAAGGAACCCCACAAATAACAGATCTGTTGTAACACATCACTGTAGCAGGCATCCCTGCCCAGTACTAGTGGGCTGTAAGTGGCACATGCTTCTTGCTTTTCTCAATTCAGCTGTATTGTTTCATATTAGACGGCAGCCCTGTGTGACTCAAATGGGCATGCCAGATGGCAGACTGGGCCAGTATAGCTCCTCCCCCAAAGGCTGCCAGGGAGACCTAAGACCTGGTCTGTGAAGTGGCAGGACTCCGCTGAGTTACGTGCAGCTGAGGTCAGCGTGACCCCAGTTGAAATCTTTTCCCTGAATTATGGCTTCTCACTGACCCATTGAGTTGCTGGCTAATTGCACCAGGTCTCAGTACCTGTTTGTTCTCTCCAAGCAAGATAAGCAGTGCCTCCTCCCTTACAGCCCTACTTGGCTCCATGATGCCAAAATGGAGATGCCCATATCGCTAGATATCTTCAAAGCATACCCTGCTCACGTTCTTCCCACTCTTGTAATCAAGAAATACTGGATGTCCTTGGGGCCTTTGTCTTTGCTGCCCAGGGCTGGATGGATCAGCCCCAACACCCAGTTCTCTTTAAGTCTCGTTTCTTTCTTTGCTCTTTTTTTTTTGGTACTGGGGATCAAACCTGGGTCCTTGTGCTTGCGCAGAAGACACTGGAACCACTGAGCTAAATCCCCGGCCCTCTTTCTTTACTCTTATCAGCTTGGGTTGTGGTGCCTCATAAGTGATTGCAGACCCCCTGCAAGATTCTACGGTAATGTCCTCATTCCCATTCCCTATACATCACCTACAAGGATCTTCAGCATCATGGGATCTTATCTTTGTGAGATCCCACATCACTGACATCACTGGATGTGATTGACTCAGGAGGCAGAAGGAATTGGGTCCTGGATCAACCCTCCATGTGAAACAGCAAGAAATGCACCAGTATTGAAAAAGATAAAACGATGGGAATAGTTAGTATCAAATATCACTTTCAAGCAACAGATCCAATACCCACAGAGCACAAGGAACTCCATGAACCCCTACTGGCTTCTACTCCCATTGTAGGATTAACAATGGGGCTGGTCCCCACATACCCATAGTCACACCTGCCTGCGTTACCACAGGGCCATCACTTTTATGAGACACACAGAGAAAACAGGCTCTTCAGTTTGTAATACAATGTGGAGTGCATCCATATCAGCTATTTAGGGTCAAAGAACCCACAGAGAGATTGCACTATTAGGTTCCATTGGAACTGTGCTCAACACCAAAAATCTGATACCTTATCATCAAGAGATGGCCCCTCACTAAGATGGCCTTCCCACAAAAGCAGAAGTATCCATCCCAACAGATGCAGAACCTTCACCATAAAAACATAACTATCCAAAAACAAAGCAATATAATCCCTGCTAACATTCATAATTCTATAGTAAGAGGTTGCAAAAATGTTAAAGGGCATTAAATATCAGACAAAGAATTCAAAAGGATGATTTTTGAAACAGCTCTGTAACATCTGAAAGAATGACAAACATATGAATGAATTAAGGAAGACAATGCTGCATGTGAATGAGGAATGTAGAAATGAGATAGTGATTTTGAAAAAGACCCAAGTGGAAATCTTGCAAATGAAAAACTTAATAACTGATACTTAAAATCTCACATGAAAGCTTCAGCAACAGACTAGATCAATCAGAAGAAAGAATATCAGAGCTTGAAATAACTCTGATGCAATATTACATTCAGACTGAAACAAAGAAGAAAAGGAAGAACGAGCAGATCAACAGCAGGAGAAACCATCAGCAATGTGAATAGACAAGCCACAATGTGGGAAAACATCTTCACCTGCTGTGCCTCAGACAAAGGCCTACTATCTAGAATACATAAAGAACTCAAAAAATCAGACCTCCCAAATTTAAAGACCCAATCCAAAAATGGGCATCTGAAATGAACAGAAATTTCTCAGAAAAAGAAGTAGAAATAGCAAATAAACACATGAAAAAATGTTCAACATCACTGGTCATTCGAGAGATGCAGAGGAAAACAATGCTGAGATTCCACCTCACCCCGGAAAGAATGGCTCCTATCATGAAATCAACCAATAACAAATGCTGGCTGGGCTGTGGGGAAAGAGGAACCCTGCTCCACTGCTGGTGGGCGTGTAGACTGGTGCAACCACTGTGGAAATCAGTATGGAGATACCTCAAAGAACTAGGACTAGAGGTCCCATTTGACCCAGCTATTCCCCTGCTGGGTATCTTCCCCAAAGAATTAAAAGAATCCTACCACAGTGATATATGTGCACCCATGTTTATAGCAGCACAATTTGTAATAGCTAAAACTTGGAAACAGTCCAATTGCCCATCAATTGGAGACTGCATAAAGAAAATGTGGTTTTTAAAAATAAAATGGAGTACTACTCAGCCATAAAAAATGAGAAATTAGAGACATTTATAGCTAAATGGATGCACATTGAAGCAATACTCTTAAGTGAAATAAATAGGACACACGTGTAAATACCGAATAGTTCTCTTGTGTGAGAAACTGAAAGTGTAAATAAGGACTAAAAAGTATAATAGATAATGTGAAATAGGAAGAAAAGGGGCAAAGGGGAAGGGGAAGTGGGAGGGGTAGGGGAAAGGAAAGAAGGGAATGGAATCAATATGAGAAAATGAAAAAATGGAAACAAAGTCTTTGTAAATAGGGAGGGATGGAGGGGTTGAAGGGAGGGCAGGGGAATGGGGAAAAATAAGAACCAAGAGAGATTATGTAAAGGTGAAAATTTCCAATGATGAATGTCATTATATTGTATACCTAAAATGTACCAATAAAATTAAATTTTAAAAAAAGAATGAGCAGAATGTACAGAATGCATGGGACAACCCTAAAGACTAAACATGTGCATAATTGAAATGAGTGGGGGAGAAGAATTCCAGGCTAGAGGCATAGATAACCTGTTCAATGAGATAACAGCAGATAATAGCAATCCCCAATCTTGGGCAAAACATCTGTATCCAGGTATGGGAAGATCCTCAAGTCGACAAGACCAGCAGAGAAACTTTCCATTCCATATCGTAGTTAAATTGCCAAAAGAACAGGAAAAATGGGGGCTGGGGATTTAGCTCGGTGGTTCCACCACCTGCCTCACAAGTGGAAGAACCTGAGTTCAATCCCTGGTACCAAAACAAAAACAAAACCAAAACAGGAAAATTACATTAAAATCTGCAAGAGAATAGTGCCAAGTCCCTTTTATATACAAATCCATTAGGCTAACAGATTTCTCTGCACAAATTCTAAAAAGCAAGGGGGCATGAAATAATATCTTTCAAGTCCTGAAAAGAAATATCTGCCAACCAAAGTTGCTATAATCAGAAGCAAAGGAGAAACAAAAACCTTCTAAGCTAAACACAAAGTAAAGGAACTCATGATCAAGGGGCTAGAATTACAGAAGTTATGTAAGGGAATCCTACATTAGAAAGGGAAGAAACATATATAGAATCATGAGAACACCTGGAAGAATAAATCTTACCAGACAGTAGATACAAAATAGAACATTAAGGGCTGGGCTGGGGATTTAGTTCAGTGGCATTGAGTTTGATTCTTGATACCATCAAAAAGAAATAAAGAAATACATAAATAAAATAGAAAATTAAGAAGGAAACAATCAGGCAAATAATGAAGTTTTGTATATGAATAAGGAAGGAGAACCAAAGAGATTATCTGACACAACCACAAGTAAAACAACAAAGTGATAGAAACAAGGACATACTTTTAAATAATAACTCTGAATGCAAATGGTATTCCTTCTCTAACTTAAAGATGCAGATTGGGTGAATGGATGAAAAAGAGAAGACCTACCAAATGCTGCGTACAAGAAGTTCACCTCATCTACCAGTACACAGACTGTGAGTAAAAGAATGGAAATTGACATTTCAAAAAATGGAACTCAAACTCAAGTTGGAATAGCTACCCTTACATTTGATGAATAACTTTCAGAAAAAGAATCAGTTCGAAGAACCCAAGAAGGTCACTATATTTTGATCAAGGGATCAATTCTCTACAAGGATAAAACAATTATAAATATACGACATGAAACATTGTAGAACTCTTTTTGTAAAACAAATACCGCTAGTCCTAAAGGAAGAATTAGCCCCCAAAATAATAACCGTGGGTGACTCAATACCCCACTCTCCCATATAAATAGATCATTCAGAAAAAAATTAGGTAAGCAATGTCAGAAAAAAATTATATTGTAGACCAAATGGACTTAATAGGCATCTACAGAATATTCTCTCCAAATGCTGCAGAATGTACATTCCTTACATTAGCTCTTCCCTTCTCTCTCCTTCCTGCCCACCAGGATATATGCAGCTTCCTCTGCCAGGCCCTACCATCATGCTGTTTATGCTTCAGAGACAGCCAGCCATGGACTGAACCCACTCAAGCTTTGAGCCAAAATAAAGGTCTCCTCCTTCAGTTGCAGGTGTTTCTCAGTGCAGAAAAGGTGACTAACCTTGAAATTGGTACCAGGAGTGGGACTACTGCTGTGACTGTTCCTGACCATGTGGCTCAGAAAACTTTGGAACTGCTTTGCAGGAGGAGTTTGGAAAGGTTTGGAGATGTGGGCTAGAGTAGCCCTACAAGGTTGAGAAAAGTGCTTGTTGTAGATACTGGTCAGAGCTCAGAAGAACAGAATGCTGATAGGAATGCAGAACATAAACCCTAGACTCAGGTGGTTTTAGGTGGGAACAAGGTCTTCATTGGCAGTTGGACATGAGAGCATGTGTGTTATGCTCTTGCAGAAAATTTGTCTGCGCTTTGCTCGTGTCTTCAGACTTCGTGAGAGACCGAGAATAAGGACAGTGTACTGATTAATCTGGTGGAGTAAATTTCAGGTCATCCCAGTGTTCAGGCTATGGTATGGGCAGTCCTGGTATGCCCTTTGCCTGGCCTACAAAGAATCAGAGGGAAATGGACTAGCTAGATGGCATGAAAAGTGTGTTTTGCCAGAAGGGCAAAAGGGAGAATTTTGCTAGGAACATAGTAAGACTTTATCTCAAAAAGAAAGAAGGAAGACACATACAAATAGGACAGTGGTCTCCAGAGCCTGGTCATGGTGCCAGTAGGGGATGGAAATGTGCTGTCAAAGAGCACAAGGTCACAGGAATACAGGACAGTTGTGAGCGATTGATTTCACAGCTTAGCGACTGGCAATAATGTCTGTGTACAGTGGTGCCTTGGTTCATGAACTCAATTTGTTCCATGTTTCCTGGGAAGATGGCTACGTTTGTGCTTATCACCCAAGCTAAGGTTTGTGAGCAGAAGCAACATTTTGCTGAATGCTTCTGTTTGTGAACTGAATTGTTTGTAAACAGAAGAGTTTCTGAACTGAGGTATTACTGCAGTTCAAAATTGGTAAAAGGATAGATATGAATGTGCTCACTAAAAAAAAGTTTAAGCATGTGAGTTAATGAATATTTTAATTAGCTGGATTTAATTATCTCATTAATAATACATTTATCAAAACATCACATTGTGGCCGATAAATATATACAACTATCCTTTGTCAGTTAAAATAAAATAAATTGTTGGTGCTGCCGCCTGCCTCACAAGTGCAAGGACCTGAGTTTGAGCCCTGGTACAAAAAAACCCCCTAAATTGTGGTGAAACAGGAATAGCATAAAATTTTCCATTTGGACCCTTTTGAAGAATGCAGGTCACTGGCCCGGAGCATGTGCCCATCAGCAGGCAGCCATGGCTGGGCCCCAGCTCCAGATAGAAAACCTCAGTGTACCCAACAAGAAGTCATTTCTCTTCCTCCTCCTCAGTCCCTCTCTCCCCCAGGGAGCCTCTAACCTACTTTCTGTCTCAAAAGACTTGCCTAATCTGGATATTTCACAGGACAGGACTTTTGCAGTATCTGTCTGGCTTCTTTCACTTAGTATAGTGTTTTCCAGTTTTATAACATGGCACATAGCAGAACTCCATTCCCTTTTGTGGCTGAGAAACATTCATTTCTGTGGATAGGACATAATTTATTTTTGGAGGATTCTTCTACTTGTTAGATTTCTTCAGTGCAGGGATGGGACCAGGGGCTCGCACAAGCTGGGTAATCGATCTACCACTGAACTACATCCTAAAATCCATACTGTTTTTTTTTAAATTTACTTGTTAACATCCCATTCTTTAGCCTTCAAGAATCTGGGGGCTCAGGGTGGGCAGTGAAGACCCCTAAATGTGTCCAGGGTACTCAGGTGGCAGGGGGGCTGAGGTGGGACCAAGAAGCTGTCTGCGATGGAGGAGGTGGCAAAGTGGAGAAGCTCGAACTCCTGGGACCAGGTTTTCAAGGCCGCCTCTTTGGGTTCCACTAGGCCATGAGACTTCAGTTCCGAAACACAAGTCCCAACACAAAAGTGTTAACAGTCTCAAAATGGCAGCCTCAGAGCTCCAGATCCCAATGTCACGGCCTTGGGAGTCCCAGCCCTGTGCCTCTGCCATCCTTCTCCTGTGTAGCTGGGAGCCTGATCTAGCTGCAGAGACTCCTGAAGGGCCAGGCAGGAGAACCAGTGTAGTTGGGCAGTTGGGATGTGGATGGTCCAGAAATTGCAGTCTCAGAGTGGCAAGGTCCATGTAGCAGGGCTTGGGCGTCATTTTCTGATCTTGGGTTCTCTGCATGGAGTAGTTGCTTGCCTGGGACATGAGTGAGTGAGTGAGTGAACAGAATCCTCCCCCACCAGGCCACTGCTCACTGTTCCCCTGAGCCCCTCTCCCAAAACACCCTGCCCGGAGGCTGATCCAGGATGGCTCCTTCCTGGTGCACCAAGTCGCTCCTGAGCCCCTGCCCTGCCACCCCCATCTGTGAAAGGAGAAGTCAGAATAGGGATCTATGAGGACAGTGCATTTCCTGAAGTTCCTCCCTGTGACTGTCAGTGCCTGACTTCCAGGCCCCCTGTCCAGGCATCATTGACAGCAAACAAACGAGACCAGAGTGTCCAGGACCTGGCAGTCCCTCCCTGCCCTGATGCTGCTGCTGGCCCTGCTGCTGCCCCTTCTGTGGGCGGGTGAGTAGGGGAGCAACAGGACTCCTGGGGTGGGGCAGGCTCCAGCTGAGCCTCTGTGTCCCCCCAGGGTCCCTGCAGGAGGAACCAAGCTACTGGCTGCGGGTGCAGAAGTTGGTGACAGTGCAGGAGACCCTGTGTGCCCTGGTGTCCTGCTCCTTCTCCTACCCCCAGGACCGCTGGAACCACTCGACCCCTGCTTATGGCTACTGGTACCAGCACAAGGAGGGTCCCAAAACTCATCATACAACAAATGAACTTGTGGCCACAAATGACCCACGCAAGAAAGCTGGACTGAGAAGCAAAGCTCGTTTCCAGCTGCTCGGGGACCCCAGGGCCTACAACTGCTCCCTGAGGATCGCAGGTGCCCAGCAGGGGGACAGTGGAAGTTACTATTTTCGGGTGGAGAGAGGAGTCATGAAATACAATTATGTGAGACCGGTGCTGACTGTGATTGTCACAGGTGAGGGACAGTCAGCGGGAAGGAAGGGGCAGAGGGATGGGAGGACCCTTAGGGGCAAGAAGGGTCTCCTGTCCTGGTGGGGAAGGGTCAGCAGAGTGTGGGACCGCTCAGGACTGAGATGTCTGTGTCAGACACACACGGGGTCCTCTCTGGGGCCTGTCCTGTCCTTCTCTCTTCCCCAGAGCTCACACAGACACCGGACATCCACATGCCGGAGCTGCTGGTGTCTGGTCACTCCAGTCGCCTGGAGTGCTCCATGCCCGGGGCCTGCAGTGGGGCCCTGGCACCCACGTTCTTCTGGACCGGGGCTGCCCTGAGACCCTCGGGTTGGGGCTTGGGCATTCACAGATCTTCGGAGATCCTGCTCACACCACTCCCTCAGGACCACGGCACCCACCTCACCTGTCGGGTGACTCTCCCTCAGGCTGGAGTGACCAGGGAGAGGACTGTCCAGCTCAGTGTGTCCTGTGAGTGCCGAGCCGGTATACTGGGTTTCCTGGGGTGGGAGACAGAAAGGATAGGAGAGTGCTGTAGTCAGAATCTCTGTGTCCCCTGAAATTATTAGGTTGAAATCCTGACCTCCATTGTGATGGTGGTGGAGGTGGGACGTTTGGAGGTGGTTGGGGCTCGAGTCTGGAGCCCTCATGAATGGAAATACTGCACCTGTACCAGGGCCCAGGGAGGCCCCTGTCCCTTCCACCATGTGAGGGCACAGCGAGAAGGTGCCATGGATGAGGCAGGACGCGGCCTCGCCTGTCCCCTCCTCTGCCTGTGCCTTCACCTGGGACTTGCAGCCTCCTGAACTTGGGAGATCAGGTTCTGCCATTTATCAGCCAGCAGCCTGTGGTGTCTGTCAGATCAGCAGGGGAGAGTGAGGCAGAGCAGCTGGGCCTGTGTCCCGGAGGCCACAGAGCCAGGAAGCCCAGGGCGGACACCACGTCCTCTGTGCTGCTTCCTGTTCTGTTTCTGGGCCTCCTGGGGTGCTGGTGGTGCGGACGGGCCAGCTGTGCCCCCGACCTCCCTGTGCCTCTCCTTCCAGATCCTCCTCAGAGCCTGACCCTCAGTGTCTCCACAGCAGATGACAGAGGTAGGTGTGACATCCTTCTACATAGGGGTGGGAAGCAGGTTTCTGCTAACAGAGCCCAGAGCCACCCACAAGCCAAACCTAGGAGTTCATGGTGTGATTCGGGGAGCATCTCTCTTTTTGGAGGGTGACAGCACTATTTTTGTCCCCTGCATGCACTTAGAAGGAATCCTCACAATCACACCCCTTGGCACTCACAAAGCAGGGCAAGAGGGGACCGTGGAGCCCTGGAGTCCTGACAGCCCCTCCAGTTCACCCTCTGTCTCCCTGGACAGACCCGGGCCCTGGGTGTGTCTTCTTCTTTCTTTCTATCACATTTACCAGTTGTAGGGCTGGGGATTTAGCTCAGTGGTTCCACAGCCTGCCTCAAAAGCATAAGGTCCCGAGTTCAATCCCTGGTACAAAAAAAAAAAGTCTGTTAACATTTACCAGTTGTGTCTGCATCTCCCACCATGCTCCCCTTACCCTGTTACCTTCAGGAAAGCATAATAGAAATGTATCTTTTTGTCTGACATTTTATTTATTGATTTAGATTGATGATATTCATCCAACACAGACTTAACCCAATTTGTTTTCTTCTTATGGTGGTGAGAATGGAACCCAGGTCCTCATGCATAAGAGGCCAGAGCTCTGCAGCTGAGCCGCACCTTCAGCCCAGAATTAGCCACTTCAGAGTGAACCTGTAGGGGCATTAATGGCCTCACAGAGTGGCACCACCACCAACCCCCTCCAAGCCCGCAGTACACCCATCATTGCCACAGAGCCCTGTGTTGCCAGCCCTGGCCTCTGCCCCTCTGGCTGGTGTCCCCATGGCGGTGCCTCCTAGGGTCATTTCCTGTAAATGCAGCCTCACTCAGTCCCCCTCTGGTGCCTGGCTTCCCCGTGCAGCTTGTATCCAGGCTCCCCCATGCTTGAGCCTTGGTCAAGCTGCTTCCTCTTCCGCTGCACAGCGTCATGCTGTCTGCATTGAGCTCCACTGGTGCCCACGCGTGTGCCTGGGGACCAGGGTGGCTCCACATTCAGTTGCTGTGAAGGGGGCTCTGGGGACATTGCTGCACAGGGTCTGTGTGGAGCCCTGTTTCAGTCCTTGGATTCTGTGCCTACCGGGAAACTGCAGGGACCTACGTGATGAGAGCCTGGGGACGCTGCTCTGCCCTGTGTCCTAGGTGTCCCTCTGATCCCTGTGTTGTCCTTACGTTGTCGCTGCCGCTGTGGGCCATTGCACTGTGGGCAAGTGCCACAGTCCACGTCTCCCTTCTGCTCTCGGTGGTACCTGCAGTGGTTCTGATCACCCCACTGTGAGCCTGCACCCCCATTCCCAATGCGATGCTTCCCATACTCAGCCGAGTACCATCTTCTAAGGCTCCAGTGACATTGGAGATTCTGACTCACAAACCTGGGCGGGGCTGGGTCCTCACTCCTAATCAGCTCAAGGGGCTCTCCCTGGGGAGGAGCTGGAGGCTGCAGGAGCGGACAGAGGTAACAGAGCTCTGGGGTTCACACCTGGAAGCGGAAGTGCAGGGTCCCTGCAAGGCAAATTCCTCAGACCACTAGACAGGAGCAGGACAGAGTCGCTCTGGGAGACCCCTGGAGAGACTGTCTCTCCATGTCACCTCTGACGGGAAGCAGTGTTGCTCGGAACAGCCCGTGTCCTGTGTGGATTTAAGCACGGCCGGCTCATCCCAAGGTACTGGGGGCACAGAGAGGAGCAGGGGGCATCGGATCCTCAGGAGCCTTGGAAGAATTGATGGTTGGATTTTGGATTTTTGAGCAAAAGAAGGCTCAGCGGTGGTGAGTAGTTCCAGCAGGAGAGAAATGTGGACGAGGATAAATGGCTCAAAGGCATCATGGGGCACTCAAGATGTCCCTAAACTGGTGGGTGGATGGAGGCAGAGAATGTGGCAGATTCACACAATGCGTTATAATGCAGCCAGGAAGCTGAACCCCATTCTGACTGGAGCTGCACACAGGTGACCCCTGGCAAAGAGGTGCTGAGCGAGACAAGCCAGATAGGAAAGCCCAAACGGCCTGAGGAAAATCTGCAGACAGAGTGGGTTGGTGTTTGCTTGGGGCTGGGGAGGCAAGGACTGGGGAGACAGCTAGGGGTGCTGGCCTTCTCTCTGGGGTGACTCAGACCCTCTAAGATTGTGATGGCTGATGCCCAGCTCTGTGAATGGACAAAAGCCACTGAAGTGCACACTTTAAACTGTGTCTACATGGAGTTACATGATGTGTGAATTTTACATAGGTATAGACAAGGACTTTCTGAACAGAACCCCAGTTGAATAAGAAATAGTTCCAATAATCAACAAATGGGATCATATTAAATTAAAGAGCTTCTGCACAGCAAAATAAACAACCAACAGAGAAAAGACAGATGGGAAACAATGTTACAGAGACAGGGGACTCATATCCAGACTATATAAAGAACTAAAAAAAATTGGAGCCCCCAAAATAAAAAACCAAATCATAAAATGGTCAAATGAAATGAATAGATACTTCACTGAAGAAGAAGAAAAAAGGCCAAAAATACATGCTTAAATCCTCAGCGTCACAGGCAATTAGAGAAATGCAAATAAAAACAACACTGGGATTCCATCTTACTCCAGAAGGAATGGCCATCATTAAGAAATCAAACAACAACGAAGGCTGAGGAGTATGCCAGAAAAGGGGCCCTTTCTACACTGTTAATGACAATGTCCACCAGTCCAACCACTATCTTTTAAGGCTGCTTTGAAATTATTGGTGGAGAATCGTTCCCTTCTCAAACAGAAATACAGTGAAAGGAATTGAGCTTCAGAGCCCTAGATTCTGGCTCAATTCTGTTTCTGTCTGGTCCTCTGTGCCCTGCCTTCTCCACCTTTTTTTTCCCTCTGTCTCTGTCTCTGTCTCTCCAGCCCCGGACACCCAGGGAAATGGCTCCTACCTGGAGGCCCAGAAAGGCCAGTTCCTGAGGCTCCTCTGTGCTGCTGACAGCCGGCCCCCGGCCACGCTGACCTGGGACCTGGAGGCCAGAGTCCTTGCTCAGTCCCAAACCTCAGGACGAAGACCTCTAAGGCTGGAGCTGCCCGGGGTGAAGCCTGGGGACGCGGGGCGCTACACCTGCCGGGCAGAGAACAGGCTGGGCTCCCAGCACAGCACCCTGGAGCTCTCAGTGCAGTGTGAGTGACCAGGGCCCTGTTCTGGGAGGCCAGGGTGGGGACAGGGGCCGGGCAGGTCCCAGAGCTGGGAGGGGGCTGGAGCCCCAGGCCTGCAGGGCCAGGCTTCTCATCTGCCTGCATGGGTGGGCAGTGTGTGGGGCCCCAGCGGGTGCCTGTCCCCTCCCACCACCTCCCTCTCTGGGATGGATCCTCTGCCCAGAGGGAAGCCCAGCCCTCCAGAGCCTCTCCCCTGTCTCCACTGCAGATCCTCCAGAGGACCTGAGAGTGACGGTTTCCCAAGCAAACAGGACAGGTAGGAGGGGGACAGAGGGACCAGGGCCTCCCGCTGCTCACTTGGGGGCCCAGGTGGTGGAGCCACACACAGATTCTGCCTCTGCCCTCCCCAGTCCTGGAAATCCTCGGGAACGGCTCATCCCTGCCCGTCCTGGAGGGCCAGAGCCTGCGCCTGGTGTGTGTCACCCACAGCAGCCCCCCAGCCAGGCTGAGCTGGGCCCGGGGGACACAGCCCCTGAGCCCCTCCTGGCCCTCAGCCCCTGGGGTCCTGGAGCTGCCCCGGGTGCAGATGGAGCATGAAGGGGAAGTCAGCTGCCATGCGGAGAACCCGCTGGGCACCCGGAGTGTCTCTCTCAGCCTCTCTGTGCACTGTGAGTGGGGAGGGGACCCCGGGGACCTGGCAAAGGGGCACCTGTGACCCTCCTCTCCCTCCCACAGATGCCCCCCAGCTGCTGGGCCCCTGGTGCTCCTGGGAGGCCGAGGGTCTGCGGTGCAGCTGCTTCTCCTGTGCCCGGCCTGTCCCGTCCCTGCGCTGGCGGCTCGGGGAGGCGCTGCTGGAGGGGAACAGCAGCAATGCCTCCCTCATGGTCACCTCCAGCTGGGCCGGGCCCTGGGCCAACAGCTCCCTGAGCTTCCCTGGGGGACTGAGCTCTGGGGATAGGCTCAGCTGCGAGGCAGGGAATGTGCACGGGGTCCAGAGGGCCACTGTCCTGCTGCTGCCGGGTGAGGGGCCAAGGGGTCTGGTCTTAGGGCAGAGGGAGGTGGATCTGAAGGATGAGGTGCAGGGCTGTCTAGACAGGTTGGGTCTGGAAACAGGAGGGGGCTGTTCTACGGGTCACTATTCCTTAGTGCTCAGATGATGGAGAACATCGAAGTGTGAGCTATGTAGGAAGAGGACAGGAGAGTTGAAGATTTTGGAGGGGACCCTGTCTGAATTGTGCTTCTCTGCAGGGAAGCCAGAGAGTTGGGGTGGATATGTGCTCGCAGCACTTGGGGGAGCTGCTGCCTCGGCTCTGCTCTCTCTCTGTGCCTGCCTGCTCTTCTCCAGGTGAGTGTGGTCCTGGCCCAGAAGGTAGTAGGGGGGAGTCAGGTTTGTGTTTGGGAGACTAAGAGTTTGGTGAGAGGATCAGAGCAGAATTGTGTGCCCAAACCCTCCTCCGGCCACCCTGAGTGGTGCCCAGATCTCACTGTGGAGGTGATCTGTACGATGCGTCCCTCACCTCCCAGCCTCAGGTGGCTATGTAGCACCTTGGAAGCAGGTGACCAAAGTTCCATTGAACACTGTGACCCAGGGAAAGATGCAAGGTCCTGCCTCCTCCCTCAGGATGAAGACCCCCCAGAAGGAGGCGGTGAGGACAGTGGCCACAGAGAAGGGCGCATCCTGTGGCCCGACTCCTGTCTGTTGGGTGAGTGAGGAGCCCACAGTGCACCGTGACCCACATGAGTGACCAAGGCCACATCCTTTTTGGTGACTCAGAGGTTCCTGATATATATTTTTTGGAACCGGGGATCGAACTCGGCAACTTGTGCTGGCAAGGAAGGTGGCGGAACCACTGAGCTAAATCCCCAGACCTCCTGATGCCTACAGAAGCATTCGTTCCTGAGTCCCCAGTGCAGCTCCAGAACCTTCCCCTGTCCAAGCTCACACTCCCTTCCTTCAGGACATACAATCCTGGGGGTCTCCAGAACCACCCTCATTCTGACACCGCCTAAGGAGCCAGCTCCCTGAGAACACTGTCAGGTTTGGTGACACCCTAGAGGACCTCCTGGAGCTCACTGCAGCTGTGCCCTTATGGTTGCTCATTGTCACCATGAGAACATGCGGCTGAGCATGAGCCAAAGGAAGAGGCACATGGGGCAGGTCTGAGGGAGCAGGCGTGAGCTCTGGGTTGTCCTTATGAGTGACACAAGAGCAGGATGATTAGGGGGTACCATATCTCTAAGTTCCCAACACAGGAAGTTGGTTTCCTTTGAACCTAGTCGATAAAGTCATTTGTTGCTTTAGCTCACTGGTAGGTAACCTGACAGACACCAGGTAAAAGGTAAATGCCTCAAAAAGTTAACCAGAGCCAAATGCTCAGCAGTGGCTGGGATGGGGGTTGGACACAGAGCTCTACTCTGATCTTCTCCTGGACAGTAATTAGATGTGCAGTTCGGGAATATTATATCTTCAAGACAGACGAAGTAGGCGGCTTATTTTTAAGTTATTTATCTTTTACCTGGTGTCTGTCAGGTTACCCATCCATGGGCTAAAGTGAAAACTGATTTTATCAACTGGGTTCAAAGGAAACCAATTGCCTGTTTTTAAAATTTGGAGATACAATACCCACCTAATCTCTCTGTATCTTTGAGAGCGCAAGTGTTTGGAATTTGTGGATGCATTGTATGAGAAGAAAACAGCAGCCCAATTCATAGACTTATAGTACCTTTAAGATTCTAGGGAATTGAGGAGTGAGGAGGCTGGAAACATAACAGGCCTAGGTGTGAGGAGGCTTTGCAAACTCAGGTAACCATGATTAAATCTTGAAACCTCAGTTTTCTACAGCTTCCTCAAAATTGCAATTTCCTGGTCTCTCCGCTACCCATCTTTGCTCCTCCTATCCTCTCTGAGAGTGAATAGATGAAGCGTAAATGCTCAGTTTCCAGGTTTGGCTGTAGACCTTCCTTGTTCTCTCCCAGTGCCCCTTGTCTCAATTTGATCGTTTTTCTTCATGCACTTTAGGGTCACCTGAATGCATCTGGGTCAGACCACCCGTCATCTGCCATGGCTACCACAGGGGAGGAGCAGGGGCTCCATTACGCCTCCCTCAGCTTCCTGGGACTGAAGCCCCGGAAGCCTCAGAACCAGAAGGACTCCAGCACCACTGAGTACGCAGAGATCATGATCCGGAACTGATGCCCCAGCCCGGAGCTCCCAGGGCTTCTCTGGGGAGGGAGACATCAGGGAGGATTGGGAGAGGAGCGTCCCCACCGCCTGACAGCAGAACTGGGTGCAGACGTTGAGCAAGCAACTTTCTACTTTTTCTCCTCTGTCAAATGGACACGACAGACCTGAGTCACAGGGCTGTCCTGGGCATGAGGGAAGCAATCCCATAAACATCCAGAGCTGTGTATGTATCCAGAGAGAGCCTTACCTGTGGCCTCCTGCCAAGCCCCAAGAGGTGCTGAACCCCCAGGTCTGATCACCCTGGCCGGAGAGGGCCCCTTCAGGGCTGCTCCTGCTGCCCAGAACTGCAGATCCAATTGAGGCTGTCAATTCTCCTTCTGCCCCGCCTGCCTTCACCCTCTCCCCACTCAGGTGTTCATCTCTGGATGCTGCTTTCTCCCTGCTCCAAGCCACAAGGGAGTCTCCAGGCCAGAGCTGCTTCCTGGATTTGACCTATGTGTTTCAGTCCTTGTTTGATTGAAATAAATGCTGTGCAAATTGGATACATCTTTCTTGAATTCTATTTCCCTAATCACTGATTACCCGTGTGCACAATGGCACCTGGCTGAATCTATCTATTTATCATCTATCTGTAGTCTTTGAGATTGATCCTAGGACTTTAATGTTGGGCTGGTGCTGAGCCATTGAGCTACACTCCAAGCCCAGCTGAGAAGAATTGGTTGTAACTCCAACCACTACCTAGTACCACTCAAACCTTGGCAGATAATTCAACTTAAGAAAAAAGCTCCTAGGCGCTGATCTGTCCCCAAGTGAGTGCCATAGAGTAATTTGATACTCCATTCCTGGAAGTCACACCCTCAGTTAGAGCAGAAATGACAGAACTGTTGTGGATACCTCAAATATGAAAGCCCTCCGCACTGGATAGTCTTACACCCTATCAGATCCCAAGTCACTGATGTCATTGGATGTGATTGATGCAGTGGGGGGCACTGACCATGGCCTCACCTATCCACGTGCAGCCCTGGAAGTGCACCAGTCCTGTCTACACAGATGACAAAAGCTCCAGGCTCAACACCACAATGGGAACAGCCAGTAGTGGGATCAACTTCAAGTAACAGAGCCAATGAGAGTAGAGCTCAAGGAACCCCACCTCCCAGAGGAGCTTCCACTCCCACTGTAGGAGAAACCACAGAGGGTGAGCTTCACATACTCTGCTGTCAACACCATGCCTGCCTCAGCCACCAGAGGGTCCCCACTTTGGGAGCCCTATACAGAAAGTAGGGTTCCTGTGTGTGTGAAACTGTGCACTGCATCCACAACACCTCATCTCAGCCAAAAAAGCCACAGGAGGTTCACACTGTGAAGTCCGGTGGGAATTAAACTCAACACTACACAACAAATCTGATAACCTATGACACAACCGCAAAGATGGCCGCTCAACGTGACGCGCCTCACATTGAATAGAAAAATTCATTGTAAGAGATGCATAAATCTCAACATAGCAGCATAACAATATGGAAAAACAAGGCAAGGTGACACATTCTAAAGTTCAAAATTCTATAGTATCAGATTTCATAGGTAATTAAATGGGTAGAATGCCAAATAATGAATCCAAAACAATGATTTTTACAAAGTTTTATGAATTCCAAGAGAATACAGATAAACAAATGAATTAAGAAGACAATTCAGAGGTAGAGATTGTTTTTTTGGTACCGGGGATCAAACTTGGGTCCTTGCGCTTGCGCAGCAGGCGGCAAAACCACTGAGCTAAATCCCCAGCCCTAGAGGTAGAGATTTTGAAAAAGAACAAAGTAGAAATCTTAGAAATGAAAAATCTCAATCAATCAGATAAAAACTCAGCTGAGAGTCTCAGCAACAAAGTAAACCAAGCAGAAGAAAGAATATCAGAGCCTGAAACCACTCTGATGCAATATTATATTCAGACTGAAATAAAGATAAAACAGGAAAAATGAACAGGACATACCCAATGCCTGGGGCAATATTAAAAGCATAAATATATGCACAATCAGAATGTAAAAAGGGAAAGAAATGCAGGCCACAGACACAGAAAACCTGTTCAATGATATAAGAGCAGAAAATACCCCAAATCTCAGAGAAGACATCTGTATCCAGGTACAGGAAATCACTTAGAACCCCAAACAGACAAAATCAGAAAAGAATCTCTCCATGATATATTGTAGTTAAATTGCCAAACTACAGGCCAAAGATGAAATATTAAAATTTGCAAGAGAGTAGGGCCAAGTGACATTTAATCTAAACTAGTTTACACTAATGTTAGGTTTTTCAGGAAAAAATTCTAAAAGGCAAGTGGGAATGTAATAATGTATTTCAAATCCTGAGAGAAAATAACTGTCAACCAAGTTTGCTATCCCTAGAATCAAAGGAGAAACAAAGACCTGCCATGATAAACATAAAGGAACACATGACCACAAGCCAGCATTACAGAAGACACTTCAGTTAATAATAAAACAGAAGAGAAAGAAACTAAATGCAATCATGAGAGAATATGGAAGAATGTATCTCAACAGAAGAGCAGATATAAAAATGAGAAATGGGGTGCTGGGGATTTAGCGCAGTGGTTCCGCCACCTGCCTCGCAAGTGCAAGGTCCTGAGTTCAATCCCTGGTACCAAAAAAAAAAAAGAGAGAGAAATAGGAAGGGATCAAACTTGTGAATACAGTAAACAATCAAACTTTTTTTTCTAGTCTCTTAAAAATGTGTAGTACTGTATTGTTTTTTTGTTGTTGTTCTTTTATTGGTACATTTTAGGTATACAGTTCATTTACATTTATCATTGGGTGCTTGTGCCTGTATAACCATGATATATCTTGGTTCTTATTTTTTCCCCATTACCTTCACGCCCTCCGCCCTTCCCTATTTACAGAGATTTAATTTCCATTTTCTTTTCTCTTCTCATAGTTTTTCCTTTCCCTCTTTTCCTTTCCCCTTCCCCTCCCTTCACTCCTTTGTCTTTGGGCCTTTTTTCCTATTTCAAATTATCATTTATTCATTTTAATCATTTTAACCCTTGTTTACACTATCAGTTTCTCACACTAGTGAAACTATTCGGTATTTACACATGTGTGTCCTGTTTATTTCACTTAAGAGTATGGCC